AAGTCCCAAAAAGTCATCACTGGGCCCACATTTAATTTTTTGTGGTGATGTTGACCATTTCAAAGAGATTAGTGCTGCCTCCCCCCACGTCAGAGACATTCTTATTAATTAAATGTGGTGGAGCGGGGAGGACCAGGAGGAGAGAGGAGCGGCTGTGAGAGGAGAGGGCCCTGGAGCCCCTCTGGGTTGGTGCTGGGATGGAAGATGGGCCTGCCCATGGTGGCCAAGATGACTCTTCTGTGGCCTCTTGGAAGAGAGAAATGATGGTACTAACATGAGCTGGCAACAGATTGCACAGAGGATGGTGCTCTTACCACAAGCACAGAATAAGAGCAACTGGCTCAAACTGCACCAGGAGGACTTTAGGCAAGATCCAGAACTCACTGACAGAGTTATTACATGCTGGATGGGACTCCAAGGCAGAATGTAGAATGATTCCTTAGAAATTGTTGGTGGGTAGGAGAGTGGCTTCCTTTCTATTCAGTGAATTTACCTAAAATGACCTGTTTCTGTGCTTCCATCAGCAAATACATCGATACTTCAGAGCATCCTTGTTTAAGTCCACCCTGTGACATCAGTGGGCTACTTCCAGCCCAAGCATCCTCCCATCTGTCCTCAAAAGGGTGGGAAGAATGAATAATGGTGTCTGAGCGTTGGTTTCTCTTTATTTTTAATTTACTGAGTTTACTCCAGCACCCCTCCCTACAGTTTCTTCAGCTTGGCCTCCTCTGGACTGGGCGTTTTCATAAAATCTCCAGTCCGAGCACTCCTGGGGCCGGAGGAGTGTCTCTAGGTGTTTCTGTCCTGAAGGCTCGACTCTTTTTCATGGGAAGTGACTCTCGGAGTGTGGCAGGCAGCCCCCTAGCTCCGTACTTCAGAGAAGCCTCCAGCATAATCAGGAACCAAAAGGAGCTCTCCTGAAAGGGAACTGGATATGTGGAGAAGACCCACACCCACAGACCCACAGAGGTGTCTGAGTGTTATGGTCTGAAGGGTTTGAGCTGATTTTTGGAATGGCCAGCAGGGACTGTGAAGGCCAAAGGGAACTCATTTTTCAGTCAGGCTCGGGGGAGGATACATTCCCTTTCCACCTGGAATTTGTCAGTTGACAGAAGTTACATAGCTTGTGTCAGGAGGAAGCTCAGAGCTGGGGGCCAGAGGAAGATGTTGCTGCAGGTATTAGGGGGCTTGAGGGGGAGGGGACAGAGGCTTCCAGGGCACAGCACCCGGAGAGCGAGGGAGAAATGCAAGAACAAGATGGCTGAAAGGGAAATTCAGGCCCATTTGCAATGAGTTCGGCGCATGGCTGGAAACAAGGGAAGAAACAACAGGAGGGAGGTGGACACAGGACTGGCCTCACTTTGTTCTCAAAAATGATTATTTTATCCTGGCAAACCCATAATAGTGGGGCTGACTGAGGTGCTATTGAGCTGAACAGCCTGCAAAGGAACAGGCAGGCCACCTAGTGTCCCTCAGACCTGTAGGACAGTAACTACTCAGTCCTGTGTCTGAGTCACTCCCGGATGGAAAGGCAGTGAGAGCAGAGAGCAGCTTTTTCCAGGAAGGGGCAGTGGAGAGGAGGACGGACATGAGTGAGAGAACGAATGGCTCTTTCTGACCACAGAGGGAATCCAAAAAGGTGAGGCCCCTACTGGGGTGATGCAGCTCTGGCTCCACCCAGGCAGTGCACATCCACTAAGATTCTCTCACATCAGTCAGGCCGCTGCCTTTGTAGCTTGCCCCCAGGGACCACACTGCACAGCCTGAAGCCTGCACAAGAGGGCTGGAGCCTGGGTTGTGCTGGCCTGTGACTGTGAAGCAAGCTGCTGGAGCTCTGGCAGCCCCCCAAGCCCATGAGTCAGTCTTTCCCCACAGCACAGCAGGCTAGACTTTTTGCAGGGTGTTGTTCGCATCGCTGAGCGTCACATCTGCACCCGGGAGCCGCTCAGCCGGGAAGGAGCCTGGAGGGCTTCTGTGAGGACTCAGCTGTCCACAGACTAGAAGCTTCCCAGGAACAACAGCAGCCCGCTGAGCTTCCAGCAAGTGTCGCAAGCACTTTCCTGTGCTTACGCGTAACTTAATACAGAAGGCTCGAACCCAGCTTATGTGTGTGGGATGAACAAGAGCTCTAATTTTATTTACTTATATAATTTTTTAATTGAGGTAACACTGGTTTAGGACACTGTGTGTGATTCAGAGGCATAGTTTCCCATCTTCTCGCATGCACCTCATGGCGCCATCCCCACCATGAAGACGTCCACGGTCCTCCATGACAGTCCAGTTCTTGCTTGGTCAACAAAGCAGGAGCTGAGTTAAAGGGCTTGTCCAGGGCAGTTGGATGAGGGGAGTCAGACCTAGACAGGCAGATCCCCAACTGCAGCCACACACAGCATCTGATGGACAATCTGTCCCATGTCTTGTTTTCTAACACCGAGTGTTTCTGTCCCCTACCTGCCTCCACACACATGGACTCTGATAAATAAAGGGGGTCATAGCTCCAGATCCTGCTGAGCTCCTGCCTATGATCTCTTTTAGAGTGGTGACTTGGCTGATCAGAATGTCAGTTCTCAGGTGACATTTTGTCCGAGAGCTTGGACATCAGATAATGCATCAACAAAGGAGCTGAAATAGATGTCTGGGGCAGGCCACTCTCTTCTAGAATGCTTTTCCCCATTTTGAAATCGTTGCCTTGATTTTCTTTCTTTCTTCCCTTCTTTTTTAATGGCTGGAACAATCCAGAACCATTGAAGTCATTTTTTAAAAAACTTGATTTACTGGCACTCCTATGTAATGCATTTGGACTGTAGCACAAGATATTGCTTTGGTGAAAATAACAATGATTTTTTGAGAAACCTGGAATAACTGGTACTAACTGGCTTACAAAGGCTGAGTTGGGGTTCCTTGCTCTCGGACAGTACCATGCCCCAGTCATATCTGTTGCTCCTCTGCTAATTCCCCATTCACTCACGGAGGACTCCCCCCCCCACACACACACACTGCAACCACTTCACCCCACCGGACAGCTGTGTCCAGGGATTAGAAATGGAGTTAAGACCTAGCGGGGGGCTAACTCAGAGAGCAACCTCACTCCTGTTCAAACTGTTTGGACATGTGTGAGATGGACAAATGCTCAGGACAGTAGGTCGTCCTCAAGTCTCCCAGACCAGCAGTAGAATGTTCCCTGGAGACTGTAAGAAACCAAGCACATGCCCTTTCCCCAAGAGAGCTCAGGTGAACTCACATGATTGGAGGGTGAGACAGAGCCGACAGGCTCAGGCTACAGAGGACAGTCTGTGAAGCCCCCTGGGTTCAGACCCCACCTATAAATACCCCACAAACGCAGTAGGTCCCGCAGTGATTTATCTGCTGGGGGGCCTCAGGCCCCATGCCTGAAATTTGAGGAGCTGACTATGTGATCTGCAAGATGCCTTCCAACTTTTAAAAAAGTGTTCATACTTTGGATTCCTCAAGCTTTTAAGTAAGTGAATTGCTTCCAGAGTTTTCTGGGTAGAGATGTTGAGAGCCCTCACCCCATAGTGGTTTCCAAATTCTGAGTCTAATATAACTAAGCTTTCCTGATTTCTCTTGGATTGGGTGGTTAATATATAAGCACTTGGAATCTTCTGGATTGTTTTTAACCTGACCTACAACTACATCTGTGAAGCAGCTCCTACTTTAGTCACTATGATAGATAGAAGCATTGCAAGTTGGTGGTAACTGCATGCTAGAAATTACAAAAACTGCTACATCATTCATTCTAGACTAAGAATTCTTCTTTCTGGTATTTTCTCTTCCTCTGAGTACCTCTCACTTCTGAACCCTTCCTTTGCTCTGCACAGCTCCCCCCCCCCCCCCATCTCAAATCCTCTTTGTAAAAATTTGCTGATGACTTGCAAACCCTTGCACCCTTGTAGGAAGAGAGCTTTGAGAAGGAAGCCCGAGCCCTGAGCCACCCTTCAGGAAGGCACCAGGAGCCTGGCATTACCAGTGACATATATGAGGTAACTAAGTAACTGAGATTTTGTTTTGTTCCTGGTCTAACCTTATCTAACACACCTTTAAAGTTCACTTTAGGAAAGCTTTAGGGAGAAAGGTGATGTAAAAATACAATGGAAAGAACCTCTCATAGTGGAATCATGGGTCTAAGTTCTAGCCAGGAACATTACAGCATCTGTAGCAAACAAATGTGGAGTCAGGGAACCTTATAGAAAGCACAATCAGAGTAAGGAGCAATCCTGAATGCTCTGGATGGTCTCATGCTGCATGTGAACTTGAAAATGCCCCCAAAGGAATTTGACATTATCCCTTCAGGCAAAACATCAACAATCCAGATTCCAGGTGGGGAAACAAAGGAACAAGTTTTCTAGAATTATCTTCAAAAAAGAGGTAACCCGGTGCCAGAGAAATCCCTTTGTTCCCTGTGCCATCCATATTACCAACTAGTAAAACATCTACTCAGCTGTCTGCAAAATTCTACAAGGACTTAGAATATTTGCAAGTTTGGGTCCATTAGGAAAGCAATCATGGGGGCTATTGGGAAACAACCTGGTGAAGAGATAATAATGTAGCTCCATTGAATGGAGCTGGCCTAAGTGTGACTCTCTTTGGGGAGAACCACTTCTTCCTCCAGAGAGGTCCTGGGGCTTTCAGAGCACTGTGGGTGGCTTCAGGAATGCTGCAGGTGGTAGCAGCTGCAGGCTGGGAGAAGGCTGCAGAGAAAAGGCAAAGAGACCTTAGATCCTAACTCTGACTTCGAGTGTCTAAAACTCAAGACTGCCTAACTCCTCCCCACTCCTGAGGTTCCTGGAGGATGTCCTCCTCCTCCCCCAAATGCATGTGACACTTCTGATGAGGGGCTCCCCTCCTACCTGCAGCTGGCTTCCCCACGGCTCCTTTTGACAGAGCCAGCCTTCCAAAGAGCTTACCCAGGGCCTCCCTGGTGGCACAACGGGTTATCTCTCAGTACTATGAAGCTGTCCGCAGCCAGTGCAGCAAGTTTGCTCCCCAGCCAGGGAGCTACCCACATGGTGCGGCAGACCTCTCCTGTCTCGCCCGCTGCTCCCCTCAGCAGTGTACTTCAGTGGAGCTGCCTGTTCTGTCTCTGGTGAATCCTCTCACCCCCTACACCTCTTGCCTGTGCCCCAGCTCTTGTATGCATAAGTAAATCAATCTTTTAAAAAACACTTACTGACACATCTGGAACCCAGCTGATGAACAACTCCAGACGCATGCCCTTCGGGTCTGGCAGCAGCACATGCCAACCGAGTCCCAAACCAGTTTATTAGTTTAACCAAAAGGTAAACAGATGATGGAAATGCAGAAAGACAAGCATGCGAGCAGCTAAGAGCATTACCCAGCTCTCTATCAGGAAACAAATTTAAGACATTTAAAGTGGCATTAAATAAATGAGGCTATGTTGCATCTACTTGGAATTTCCATTGTCTTTAAAAAATGAAAATATATATATATATTTATGTATTTTACATTGCAGTATATAAATCTAGACTCTACATATACAGTATAAATACACAGAGCACAACACGGTTGGTAATCACACCCTAACCGGACAACAGTCCTGTGTTCGTTTTGATCTTCCCACCAGGAACCTCAGCCTGAGGCTACACTGACTTCTGTCTGCAAGATGTCTTCTAGCATCTCATCCACCCACCGAAAGCCAGAATCGGACAAGCCTCACAGAGAGAAGAAAGCGCCAGTCCTCGGACCGGTTGAAATCCAGGATTTACACAGCACGTTTCCCTCTCCTGGAAAGATCAGAAGGAAACTGGAGACTTTCCTGGCTCGTTCTTTGGTTTACTGCCACACATCTCTAAACTTTCCCTGGTGTTTCTTGCAAGTTTCATATGGCTGTTTATGCACAAAACATAAATCTCATACAACCTTTGGGTTGTCTTTGAGGGTTGTGGGGTGCAGAGGGGAGACCTCCATGTTACAATCTGCACTTCATATTCTGAGTTCATTCTCTTTATTTGGGGGATAAAAACTGGTATTTTGATAGGTTTTTCTTGAAAAGGACAACATTCTGAAAGTGCTTTTTATACATGTCAACTTCCACATATGGCTTTTTAGTTCAAACCCCAGCACAGCTCTGAGTGGGAAGGGAGGAGGTGATGGTGTTAGTGGGACAGCAACGTCCCTTGGCAGGGACACCGTGACAGCAAGTGTGGGACCTGAGGGGTGAGGGGGAATGGTATTTTGATTCCATCTGGAGAAAGGTACCTCTTTAGAAGTGATTTGGGGAATGCAGCCCCATTTCTCGCCACAGCTAGGCACGGTTAATAAGTAAAAGTTAGTAAGGAACACAGGACGCTGCTATCAGCAGATAGCATCTTCCCACGGGTTATTAAAAGAGCAACCACTGTTCAGAAATCTTTCACAGGCTCAAAATGATCACATACAGTCCATCAAAGTAAGAGTTTCGACACCTGAGGAACAAATTGCACATAATATAGAGGTATTACCGTCCAGATGGGCAAAAGACTCCAGACATATAGTTTTACATGCAAAAGGCAACTGGCAAAGGCAATGAAGTCGTGGCATCTGAGACAGTAAGAGTCCAAATGTGTCAACGTTCTTCTGTGCCTTCTCTTCTGGCTGATAAGTTACCAAGGACCATGGCTGTTTGTGCAATAATGATGTTGCTATGCCTCGTGAGGGGTGGGGGATCTGGGGGCGGGGGAGGGACAGAGGCGCGATGCTGTTGCAGGAAACTGAGATGGGCTTAGGATCGTTCCAAAAGGGTTAGGACAGTCGGCCCAGTGGGTCAGAGGCCCCCGAAGTTCCTCTTTGTCCTCTCAGGGGGAGCAGAGAGCTGTGGACACAGCAGAGCCGAAGGCCACGGGCTCATCCAAGCCCTTTCCGAAGAGGCTTTTCATCCAGCCCGGGCAATTCCAGACTCTGCAGTTGTTTCTTCTGGTGGCACTTGATTGAGAAAGTAATCTCCTTTTATAAAAAATAGTTTGGACTTCTTGTAATACTGGCCCAAAGGACACTCTGTATTCCTAGGATTGATTCCATTTACTGGGAAAGTATGGGACTAGGTTCACAGTTCCTTCTATTTCCCTGTAAAAAGTGACCACAACTTCCCAGGCCATTGTGCAAATTTGTTTTTCCATAGTCCAGAATATCCCATACGTCCCTCACATATTTATATATGTACACGTACATACCAAATACGTGTACATATATATATATATATATATATATATTTATAAGTGTGTATAATTTTGCATTTCAGTCTGGAGTAGGTCAAGGAGATCAGTGAATTGTTCATCCTTTCCATGTCAAATTCACTTCTGATTCCCTTGCACATGTCTTGCACACTGAAGGTGCTCAATAAACACTTGTTTGACCTCACAAAGATCTCTAACACTGGATGGCGGTTGCAGTCACCATGGCCTGTGCTCAGCCACTCTTGGCCTTTGGCGAGCGAGGGGTCATGGTCCTTCCCTTCAGAGGGTGATTTTACTGTGTCTGTTGCTCCAGCAGCCCCGTTTAGCTGTCCTGGGCAAGGTCAAACTGGTCCGGCTACGTATTTTCACTTGCTCTTCCATGGAGTTCTTTTTGCGTAAGATGAAGTCAAAGTTCACTTGGCTGTTCATGGCATAAAAGACATTTGCTGAATCTGGGATCACAAGCTCTAAACAAGATAAAGAAAGAGAAAGCTATCAGTTGTGTTTGTGGCGCTGGGTCAGAGCTGACGAGGGCAGGCAGGAATGCTGCCCAGACAGAAAGCTGGGACTGCAGTCCTTTGTCCCTAGAGCGGGAACTCAACCAGAGTTACATGCCGCTCTCCCCCTGGCTCCCCGATAATTGGCCCCAACAATGTTTTAAGCCCAAGGGGAAAAAAAAGAAAGTGTTGGCAGGAACTTAGAAATTCCACCTTTGAATTAAATGTTCAAATGCAGGACGTTTCAAATGCAGGACGTTTTAGCTGGAGGAGAGGCCCAGTAGGAAGAGAAATGGCATTCCCCAAGTCAGTTAGCACCCCAGAGCTGGGGCTGGCCTGTGCTCAGAGATGAAGAAAATCCAGTGACATGGAAGAAAGTAGAAAACCCAAATCATTTTCCAGAACTACGTACTTGAATGGTGATACATTACTTCAAAATAACCCATATTGTATTCATTTAAGGTCTTGCTCTCTCAAGAGCCTACAATTCAGCATGAATGGGCATCCACATTAAGACTGTGTATATCTGTTAATATTTACATTATTTCCTACAACTCCCTATTAGAGAGCTGCAGTTTCTGAAGGATTATTCCAGGTATAATATGAAATTAGTGAGCAAAGTAAATTGCATTTATTTTTATTATTAAGACAGTATGTATTATCTAGCACTAAAGGGTAGAGGGCCTCTAAACAGACAAACGCGTTTAAAAAAGATAGAGTGCGCCATAGCAGGAACATAAAGGACCGGCGGGGGGTGGGGGGTATAGTAATGAACAACTATATACCAGAGACATTTTACAGGGATGGAGTGAGGAATGGGATCTAAAATGGGGGTGGGGGTGGGGGTGGGGAGTACACAGGACTATGGTGATGGCACACAGGTTGATGGCACACAGGTGAATTGGTGATGGGAAGCCCACGGGGATTACAACTGAGAGGGAAAAAGGCACAAAATGATGTAAAAATAAACTATTATATTTAAAAAAATAAGAAAGGTAGAGCATGCAAGCCTAGCTTGGTGGCAGAGTTGGGGGGCGGCAAGAAGAGGTCGAGGCATCTGGCAGCAGAGCTCAATTCTCATTAACTTCCAATGCAGAGATTCTACAGCCATCCTCATGAGATCAGGTCTGAGTGACTCCATCTCATTATCTGCACAAAGGTTTGATGAACATAACTCCCTCAAAGTGTCCACGGCCTCATGGCCACATATTCCCAGCGAATAATAATTCACCTCACAGCTACAGAACATGACCTACCCCCACAGCACATTCAGATACAGATATCCTGTGATCCTCACAGTCACCCCAGTGATGTCTGAGGCACCAGTGGGGTGTGGTCTCTGTTTAACTAATGAAGGACCACTGAGGCCTGAAGAGCCCCACTGCCTCCCACAGCTGTGAACAAAACTGGGCCGGGGCTGACTAGATCTTCAGACCCACCTGGCTCACTTTAGCATGTTTTGTGAGCAACATGGTAAAATTTAAAAGCCCGCATTTTAGGCTTAAAAGTCACATAAAAACATGTGAAAAGATATGACTGTGAAAGGCTTGCCCCCCAGCCTGAGATTCAGATGAGTGATGAGAAAAGTTCTAGAGGTAACTACCTCTAGAATTATCTCATGACGACAGTTTTTTTATCTCTCAGAAAAGACACTTGCTTTCAGCCATTCTCCATGAGCCAAGATACAGCCCTGGCTGATTTGCTGGTCACAAGCAAATCATGCTGGCCAAAGTCTTTCCCAACTTCTTTTCAGTTCTTTTTCTTGGGGGCAGGAGAAAGGGGCTGCTTATTGGCAAAAAGCACTCTGTTGGCCAGTGTTGGTCTGTCAGCAGACGGGGGGCTGACAGAAAGTCAATTTTGACACAGGCACTTTCTGTGAGGTGACATGGTGGAAAAGAGCTTCCCACCAGCAAAGAGCACATGGTTCTATGGATGACATATGGGTGAAGTGGCAGTGGGAAGTTCATGGGGATTACAACTGAGATGAAAAAATGTACAAAATGAAGAAAAATGTAATGTATATATGTAATAATAAAAAAAGAGCTTCCCACTAGCCTGTCTCCTCTCTCAACAGATACAACCCAATTCAAATTAGGAAATAAGATACACTGGTGATGTATTTTCCCAAAGCTCTCATAAAAGAAATGTCTTTAAATTATGAATGCCCAGGCATAGAGAAACTTTTCACTTAACCACTCCCTACCCCCAACCCCACCTCAGTGTGAGGTGAAGAAGCTTCAAATTCTTCTGTTAGAAACACTAGCAACCCTCCCTGGTGGTGCAACAGGTTAGGATGCAGCACTGAAAGCTAGCCAAGCCGCTTCAGTGTGAGTTCCATCTCTGGCCCTGGAGGTGACCCACATGGCATAGCAGACCTCTCCTGACCCACCTGCTGCTCCCCTCAGCAGTGTACTTAATCGATCTGCCTGTTCTGCTCCCCACTCTGTCTCTAGTGTGTCCTCTCACCCCCTGTACTTCTAGCCAGCACCCCAGTTCTGTATGCATAAATGAATAAATGCTATTTTAAAAAAAGGAAACATTAGCTACCTGGGAAGGGATTATGAATAGAGATTAATGAATCACACAATAGTTGATGGCAGGAAATGCTCCATTTCAGATTCACATACAACTAAGAAACACATTAGGCAAAGAAGTGGGTGACCATCCTGCCCCCTGATAGAGGAGAGACCTCTTTCTAGAAAAATGTTTGATGAGAAGTTCACAAAGGATGGCAGGAGGAATCTTAGCAAAACTGGAGAAAAAGCAAAGGTTGTTAGGGAAACAGCAGCTTGAGACAGTGAATGTACAGATGAGGTGCTGTAGGTGAGGTGATGATTCTCCCTGCAACTGCACCCTTGCACAGTTAAGCCCCTCACTTGGCTTCATTTTGGAAAAAGTGACCATACATCTAACTTCCGGTCATGAGGAGGAACACACACCTTTGTCCTCTGAGATGACCTGCACCAGCTCGTACTCTTCAGCTGGGTCAGAGTCCAGGTTGTGCTTCAGCATTGCTCTCTGGATCACAGCAGGAGTTTTATCCTGGCTAGTCAACTGGAATGACAATGAATGGGTAGGGACAGTATTAGCTTTCCATGTCCTGAAAGTGTTTTCTTGACTCTCCTTGCTGCTGTGAGAACCTTCCCAGTAGAAGTGGCCCTGTAATGAAAACAGGATCCAGAGCTGGAAGCCCTCCTGGGTTCTAGGTCTGCCTCCACCCTGAGCAACCACAAGGTGGTGGGCCAGTCACCCATTTTCCAGTGCCCCCCCCCCCCACAGTGAAATGGCAGTTTCCTGCACACTAGATGAGGTTCCAGTAAACAAATAATATATGAGCGCCTTGTGGAAAATGGACAGAAGTATCTTTACCTGGACCTGATACAGATGCTGGTAACCAGGTGTCTGGACAAAAATCATCCTGACCTGCTGAGCTGCTGCTGGTTACATTGGAAATGGCCACAGGTCTGCATACGGGCCCTTCTAAAAAACATGACTGATTCTATGAACCAGGAATCCCACTGCTGAGCATTTATAGAGAGACATGAAAACAGGTGTCTGTTGAAGGGCTTATGTTCACAACATAATTATTTTTAATGACCCTAAGCTAGAATGGGTGTGAATCCCATCAACAGGTAGACAGGAGAATAGATACAAAACTCATAGCACGTTCATATGAGCACACTACTCAGCAGCTCCAGGCAACTAAGAACTGGTCTTTGTAGCAGTGTTGCCAAACCTCAAAAACATGTGAGCAAAAGAAACTGGCCATAAAAGTTAGATACTACAGGAGTCTGTTTTTTCAAAATCAGGACAAACTAACCTATGGCATTAGAAAACTCTCAGGCTTAAGGGGGAGTTGACTGGTAGGGGCACAAGGAGATAGCAGTGATGAAAAGTGTCCCTTAGAGACTTGGGGTGGTGGTTACACAGAATTACAAAGTTATTAGAAAACTAGATGATTGGATACTTACAACCTGTTAATTATATATAAACTATATGCCCATGAAAATCAACTTCTAAGTGTTGAAACATAGTAAATATACCATTTTGAAAAATAAAAGCACAAGTAAATATTCCCCTCACCCCCAACTTTGACTTCTCTTTTTTTGATCTCTGCCCACCAGCTAACTCTCTGCAGGACACTGAGACAGTAGGAAAGGTGGGCTCATTCTGGATCAACCCTTGGGTGATTTCTTTAAATTTGAAAGAAAGCCAATGAAAAGATTATTCTGATTTTTTAAATAAAAGCTGTTCTCACCAAGAGGAGAACAGAAGAGGAGAGACAACCACTAAAAATAAAAGTTTAACTTCCTCCAAGAAAGCCACTGTGAGCCTGAGAACAACAGATCCTGAACGCCTCCCTCTGGCCTGGGCAGCGCTGGCATCTGACACCCAATAGGCACATTACAATGGAGTCCTTGTAGGCCACAGAGAGCTTGCTCATCCAGCTATTACCAAAACATCTGGCATATCCATTTGTAAGGGAGAAATAGATGCACACAGAATCCTAAAGGAGGAACCTGTTTTTGAGTCTACAGGAGTGGGGTTCCCACAACTGGGCCACACAGGATGAGGAGCATGAAGTTTGAGAAAGGACACGGCTCGGGAGATGTCCTAATGTCAGGTGTTGTTGTCAATTTCAAATCTGTTTAAGGAGAAAGCCCAAAATACCTTTTTTTTTTTTTTTAAACTTCCTCTGGTGTGTCCAAATGAGGACAAGATGTGTATTACTTTGTACCACAAACACTACAGGAGGAAAATACTGATAGTGATTAGTACCCTTGGGCTGAGATACTGAACCAGCACTGTCCAGGAGACATATAACAGGAAACTGAGATGTGATTTTAAATAGCTACAATTCATATTAAAATTCTATAAGGGAAATGAAATTAATTTTAATTATATTTTCTTTAACCCATACTTTTCAAGACATTTGTCCAGAAGGTGAGTGAGGAAGACAAAGTGAGACTTAGGGCTAGTGAGCTATGCGGTTGTATAGCACACCTCATTACCCAGGAGGCTCCACAAGAATTCCAAGAAGACTGACATTTTGGGAGCTGTGCTCAGATACACATCTTTAAAAAGAACTCAAGAAAGGTTCCGCTTATTCATTTTTTTTAGAATAGTTTCTCAGGATTCAACAGAGATTTCCAGCTTGATCTTCCAGGATGATAAGCTGGATGTCAAGTGACCAAAGGAGAAGAGTTTGCCCCCACACAGGATACCACTGAGAAAGCACAGCGGTTCCATTCTGGAAAGGTAGATGTGGTGGCATGTTCCCTTTATGACCACCTAACTGGCTAGTTTTGACAAGGCTGAGACTGACCTGGATGAGTGAATTCTAGCAACCTCAAAGATATAGAAAGTACATGCTGCTGTATGCACTGTTGGTATGTAGATTTTTATATCACTGCATTATTAGTCCACACCCCAGGAGACTGGGGCGCATGCACATGCTCACTTTGTGTGAAAGGAAGCCACTTATACATATGTTAACACTGCACTTGTTCAGGGGTGTCGGTCTGAACAGCTGAGACCTGCAGGTAGATGACCCCAATGACTTACTGGCTCAAGCCTTCCTGGTGGGGATGGGCATCTTACCATGATGCTCTTGTACATGTTGCCATTATTGTCCTCGATACTGATGCGGATGATGCAGGTGTCTTCATTCTGTTGGTTGTAAGCGGGAGGCTGCACAGCCGAGGTAATGGATGTCACGGAGACAGAGCGCTTGTGGATCTTAGGATTGGAGTTGCAGGGCGGAGGGGAGGATAGAGGGTTGATTAAGGATGACATCCCTGAGGAGGCCGTGTCCATGGAATGGATAGAGGAACAGGAGGACGACGACTCGGAGAGCTGGAAAGTGGACATGCACCAGAAGAAAACCAAACTATTAGAAACTTGGCCAATGTGCCTGCAATGCTCAAAGCACAGGCAAATGCTGAGGCTCATAACCACAGCCCACAGCACATGCGTGTCTGGACTCTGGTATGAGCATGCATAGCTCTTATGAGCACGCATAGCTCTTATGAGCACTCCATGTGTGACTAAGTTGGGTCTGACATTTCCCGTTTTTAACAGTGCTTAAAGAAGAGGGCCACTAGGTGGCAGTAGACACCAGAAACTGGAGGCAACAAAATTGGGAAGGCGTGGACTGAAGAAATAGGTCTACCACGTTTTATTGAGTTATGCTGCTTCCGGCAGGAATGATGCCTCACAAACTATAGAGGCCATTTCTATCAAGATTCTACTTCCCAATCAGACTTTGTAGCAGAGGCCAATATTTTTGGAACTTTCTAATCTAAGGGCCACAGATTATACAGCTCTGTAGGTTGAGCACTCCAGGGAAGGCCCTTGGCGTCCCCGGTCCTACTCCCTTTCTCCTGCTGAGGAGTCTGAAGACACAGGGAAACTGTCATCACTACACCAGGCCTCTTCCAAGTTTCCTGACTACCGCCGCCAGGCGTACACAGCAGGCAACAGCTGGTCCCTGTGGCTGACCCTGGTGGTGAATGGACCAAAGATGACACAGACAATGATGCAGAACACTGAATTTTTGAGACAAGCTTCCCTATATCTTACCTCATTTTGGTGTCACAATTGTCTTATAACCAAAGTGCCCAGCATTCTAAAGATGAGGGGAATAAGTTAAAGAGAAATAGAACCATTTATAGAGGCACTGTTTCTACAGAGGCAGCCTTAGGAAGTTCTATCATCTTCCACATTTGCTGCTAGAATCTACTGCACTGCTTATCTAGGGTAATCAAGGAAGGACATGCTATAGTCACTGTGCTTTCTTTATGGATGACATGGTGGTCATGTGTGACTTACCAATGACCAAGGAACAGCATGCCCCAAACGCTCTAGAATGTGTTTCCATAATCATTAAACTCAGTAATTTTAAAGATCAATTCTTGTTGCAGAAAGTTACAAAAAATTTCTCCAAGTGCGCTAAGCTAATTTATACTGCATTTAAAAAATAAGTGACATTTTAATCTCCTTCATAGCCATCAACCAATAAACAGTCCAGAAATTAGCTTTCTGATCATGTGGGTTCCAAGTAAAATGGAATCTATTTCCTATACACTTCTCCCCACAGCCTTAAATAATACTGAGTGATGTTTAGTTTAATTAGAATCAGCAGGCCTGGGCCTTCCCTGGTGGCGCAAAGGGTTAAAGCTTAACACTAAGAAGCCAGCGGCAGCTGCTTCAGCACAGGTTTAATCCCCACCAGGGAGGTGACCCACATGGCACAGCAGACCTCTCCTGTCTCACCCACTGCTTCCCTTAGCAGTGTCCTTTGTCAGTCTGCCTGTTCTGCTCCCCACTCTGTCTCTGGTGAAACCTCTCACCACTCCTGTACCTCTGGTTTATACCTGAGTTCTGTATGCATAAATACATCTTTAAAAAAAAATAAAAAGAATCAGCAGGTTCATGTGACAATTCTAACATGGGGGAGGTCTAGCTGTGGCTCCAAAAAATTGCAGTTCATCTACATCTGTCCTATATCCCCAGGGAATAGCCTTATTGGCTCAATCTGAGGGCTAATGTGGTTCTTTTTTTGCCTTGAAGGTATCATACAGTCACCAAGACTATGGATACAATTCTTTTCACTTTCCTTTCCCCTCTATTTGGTAAACGTTTTCCTTGCTTAAATTTTCCATTATTTTAATGACAAATAATTAAGATAAAGCTTTGGGGATGGCTTGGTCTGTGGCAACTCTAAACACAACAGCTGTGGAACCCCCAAATTCATACTGAAGATCTAAGTAACGAGAAGCACTATAAAAATCAGTGTTTAGAAATCATGATCAGAGGAATGAAAAAACAGGCACATGACCCCTTGCTAGAAGAGACTTTGAGGGAGGTTCAGAAGGGGAATGGTAGTGTTCAGGTCAGAGGAGAGGTCAAGGGGTCTGGACCTGCTCCAAGCAGCACCCAGGCCTTTCCTGTTAAAACACAGGGATTGTGCAAACACACAGGGATTGTGCAGCACAGCAACTGAGTCAACCACTCATTTTTAAGCTAGAAAAATTCATGACTCTGAGAAAGGTCCATTCAAGGCATAAAAATTCATGACTTGTATAAGGAGTGAAAGAGTCAGTGTGAGAGGGAGGAGACAAAGGCCAGAGTGACACAGCACCGAGGTGTCTGCAGAGTTGTAAAAGGGCTGACCAGACTGTAACCTCATCTACATATCACTGGGCCAGGGAGAAACCCAGCAAGCATGCGGCACTACCAGCTGTCACTTTCCACCATCCCCACGGGCCTCCAAGTATCAGAACCAGCTACAGACGAAGGAGAGGTCCCCCACTCCTGATTTTGATACATTCACTGCTGCATTCATCATGGATAATGGCCACACCCTGGTTGGTGACACAGGCCTGTGAGCATGGACAACCCTGGGCGTCTGCCCAGGTTTTCCCTCCGGCTTGTGAGGACATGCCTTGGAAACCAGGCAGAAAGGGGACAAGTCCAGCAGGGGAGCCACCTGAGTCAGCTGAGATGAGAGCTGCTCGAGTGGCCTCCAGCTGACAAGGTCACTGGAGAGCTCCCTCACTGCTGTTGCTGTGCAGGTCCCTTGCAGAAAGGGAACAACAAGCCCACAGGGATGCTTCCAACAGCTGACCTGTCTAAGCATCATCTAAAAGACCAAAAGTTGCTTACAAAGCAAGTTTGGCCAAACCTTCCCAGAATAGCAGCTTCTAGCCCATCAATAGACCTAAGCTCCTTGAAGTGGAGGTGCAGAGAAGATTAAAATGGATATTTTGGGTTTTTTCTTATATATGCAGCCATGGACAATGGAAAATCTCTACAGAATACATTACCTTTCACCATTTTCCATTCTGGGGGCACAGGGATTATATGTTACCAAACTCCTCACTGCCTCCTGCAGCCACGGCCTTTGCCCAGTGACTCTGTAGTTCCTCCCACCGGAAATGCATCTATCTAGTTCCTGGTCTCCTGTATTTATATGGGCTTAGCCACACGATTTTCTATGACCACTAAAATGTTGGTAGCTGTGACCCACATGAAGAACTGCCTTGCACAGGTAGTTCGCTCTCTTGTCCATCTGCCTTAGCAACTTGAGCGTGTCCACTCCTTCAAAAAGAGGAAGAGGCAGTAGAGCAGACCTGGACCAAACCCATGGCAAAGGGCCAAGCCAAACCCAAACCACCAAGGCTGCCAATCCATGAGAGAACACACGTGTTTAAAGCTCTGTGTTTCAGAGGGGGGTGCTGTGGGACAGTGGTTAGAGCTTGGCTGAGACAGAGATGACAACAAGAAGCTGGCACAGCTCCACCACTGGCTGTACTGCTGCTTCAGAGAAAATCCTACACCTTCTACATAAAGTAGCTCCAGTGAAGTCCGTACCCACATCCAATTGCCTTTGGGTACAGAACTATACGTCCAGGGCTAGGTGAAGAAACCACCATGTTCACTGCTCTTCAGCCTGCTTCTGTGAGGGATAAATTTAAACCTGTCATTGACACATAAATATACTTAAATACACATTCGTCACATGGCCAGCACTTGTCAGGTGCCTGTATTGGGAGGATCATGGAAAAGGAGTAGGTCTATACCTTCTTTTGAGGATCATCGGGTGTGTCCATGGGAGTGATGGAGCCCTCCTCAGCCTCGGAGTGGTTGGACTCACAGGAGGACACACTGACGGAGTCCATGCTTTCACCAGAGCTCCCACTGGCAGTGGACTTGGGTTGCTCTTTGCTGGGAGTGCTACTGGTGATAATGTCCGAGCCCAGAAATAGTCTGCAGCAAACATAAAGCCAGAGATTTCACATCTTATGAATCTGGAACCCATGATTGATAATTTGTGTTATCAATCGTTCTTGCAAGCCCTCTTGTTATTATTTTAGAAAACATTTGCTATAGAGGTTTGAACAGAACCTAGTTCACATCTTGTCCCCAATAGGTTATTTTCAACTTCAAACAACAAACAGATTGCTTAGCAGGATGAGAAACCATATTCATCTGGGGTCTTTCTAGGTCAATGTCTCCATTCTTTTCACAACCAAAGGCCAGCTTGGCAGGATCAACATCCCACCACTAAACCCTATCATTTCCCACCATTCATAAAATGAACTTCCAGAAGCTGAAGAAAACTGGCACTCTTTCGGCTAAGCACTCAAGGAGGAAAACTTGTTTCCCAAAGTGTGGTGAACTGCAGTAACCTAGCGCCCTTGCCTACAAACAACCAGATAAGAAACATAAAATTTTCTTTCTAAAGCTGAATTTGCTAAATAGTAAGAAAAATCCTGATAGACCAGAAACTAAAAGGAACTGAAAGCCAGAAACATGTGAGTTAATTCTGCAGCTGCTCTGGGTGGAGAGTGGGAGGCATCAATCTTGGCAAACTAGGGACATAGGTTTTGGCACAGACCAGAGGTCTAAAGATGAGGGTTTCTGTTTCTATGAGGTGGGGGAGTTGGACAGAATCATGACTCTCCCAGGGCTGTATCCTCAGTAAGAAGCCAGGCTAGAAAAATATCTTCCTACTGGCCTGTGAAACCAATTGGGAAGCTTTGGCCTGAGTTTGGCTGGAAGAAAAGTTTTCCATGAAATCATATGTGGTCTTGACTAGCATTCCATGTGAATCTGCTACCTAAGTGGTGTAGGAATTAGGAACCCTCAGGTCAGTGAGATTCCTAGAGGAACTAAATTCCCGAAAAAAATATTTCTGGAGGAATATGTCTTCAATCCAGGTTACAAAGAATTTCTTAATAAAGATGAACTCATAATACAAAATTACAAAATATACACAATGAAATTCCTGCCTATAAAGACAGTCCGTGTAAACAACAGGTTTACATCTCTCAGAATCTCAGATATAAGAACTGCCAGAAAGAAACAAATTTGTTCATTCTTTCATTCAACACACATTTGAGTGCCTACCATGAGGCAAGATATAAAATAAGTTTGTTTTTAAAATATTATAAACTTAAGAGAAGAACAGGAAGATAACTTGAAAGAAAAATCACTATTACAGTGAAAAAGATGATTAATTAAATTTAAAACTCAATGGAAGGATTAAATAACACATACTGTTGAAGAGAACAATTGTTTAAAAGATGATAGATTTGGGCCTCCCTAGTGGCCTAGAGGTTAATTAAGTTTCAGTGTTATCACTACTATAGCCTGAGTTCAATCCCAGCCAGGAGCTAACCTACATATAGTGCAGCAGACCTCTCCTGTCTCACCTGCTGTTCCCCTTAGCACCTGTTCTGCTCCACATTCTATCTCTGGTAAATCCTCTCACCCCTCTCACCTCTTGCCTACACCCCAGTTCTCCTATTCAAAAAATTAATAAATGAATGAATAAGTAAATAAATAAATAAAAGATGATAGATCTGAAAAAAATCCCCAGAAGCCAACATCAAAAATATAAAGACATAAAAAACAAGACAGGTTAAGATACTGAGAATAGAGTAGTAAATGCCTGCCTGTGTGTAAAGAGAGTCCAGGAGGAGAAGTCTGAAAGGGTGGAAGAGGGACAAAATCTGAAAAATGGTGACTAAGGAGATTCCTGAAATAATGAAGCACATGAATCCTCAGACCCAGGAATAACATCTTGAATAGAATAGTAAATAATAAACTGCATTATTATCTAGTAAATAATACTGGCACCCCACTTAAACTGCACAAGGGCATATTAAAGAAATTCTTAAACATAACAGGAGTAGGGGTACACTACAAAAGAACAGTAACGAAACAGGCGTTAGACTTCGCTAATGCAAACACCGAAGTCAGAAGATTGTTCCATCAGTTACCAGGCAGACCTTTGAGAACTTTGAGTGAACTAGTGATCCTCACCCCATTGTCTGAGTCTCTGGTTTAGAACTAAATGGTTCAAAGGCCAAAGGTTCTACAATTCAATACGGTAGTCATTGTCAAGATTCTGGTGCCATGGTAGGTATGTCTGACCTTCACCCTGTCAAGCCTCGAAAATCCTCTCAGGCCTCATTGGCTATTGAGTCCTTAAGAGTATGAAGAACAAAACTACATTTTCCAGATTTGTAAAAATAAAATCTTTTGGAAATGAATGACACACACTTGGTATGAACAAGAAATAAGACGGGACATGTGACTTGTTTTCATAATGTACGTTCAAACTCAACTGCAGACACCAAGGATTAAACTGAGCATCTTGGCAAAACTTCACTGTAGGATGGGCTGAGTCTCCACCCAGCACACTTGTGCAGAGCCTGCAACCCAAATCCTGCTTCAGCTGGACTTCCCATCAATGTCCTCACAGAAACCACATACTTCTGTGCCAGAATTGGTGCAGAGAGAACTTGGGGATAACCAAGCACCCATCATAATACATATAGATATTGGGTTGCTGAGAAGAGGAGCAGCTGTTACTTCACAATGAGTTTGAAGCAGCCATTACCTGAAGACAAGGAGGTAGAACAAGGGAGCAAAAGCAATAGTTATTTAGGATTAGACCTACTATAAGGAGATATTTACTCAAGACGTCTAACTGCCATGTAAAGTCCAGAAATTTCCATTTCTTTCTGATGCAGAAGAAGCAATCATGTGCCCACATTCCTGGTTCACCTGTCAGAACCTGTCTCTCCTCCCACCGTGTGCATGTGGCCCTCACCAGCTGACAAGGCTTGGTAGGGAACCTTGGGTGAGATATTAAGAGAGCTTGTTCTCCTCCATATTTGCAGCAGTCAAAAAGAGAGCATCGCTATGGAACATTCCATAGAAATGACTCTAGAAGCTCATAAATCTAGTGTACGGGAGAGCCAGGGCAGGCATCTAAACAGAGAGAGAGGTCTGGCAAGACATCAGGATTACCTTCACAGGGCAACCTTCACACTTTGCTTCACAAAATCACATGTCCCAACCTAATCCTCAAATGCCTCTGAACATCTGACATCAGGTAGAGGTCTGAGCAGCCACTGAGCACAGGAGACCACACCATCCACACCCAGTAAGGGCTTGTACAGGCCACACAAACACCGCCAGATCCAAGGCCAGGTGCCAACCTGCTCTAGGTCTCAGTGTGACTCAGAGGGAGGTGGAGTTTGGTTCTGGAAATTGTGAAAACCCATAGAAACAGTCAAAATCCCAAGTCCTCCCATCCCCACCCCTCAAATACAAGGAGGAAAGAGATAGCAAGAAAAAGGTTTTTTGTGTGTGTATGGCAAATAATGGTAGTTTTGCAGGCAGCTGTAAGAGTTGGGCACTGCTGAAGTTGGGCGTTGAGTTTATGTCCACCAGACCTGAGGATAACTCACCGAGGCGGGCATTTTTAGTCTCCCCTCATCAAATCACAAAACAGAAGCTCACACTACAAACAATCAGCATAGCTGGGATCTCCCAAGCCAGCCTGGCTTCTCAGGCCCACTGTCCTGAGGAGGCCGCAGAGGCCCTGTCACTGTGCCTACTGGTCTTTGGCCGAAGAAGACTGTGTCACCCAGAAGAGCAGACACAGATGTATGTCTTCAGAAGAGAAGAGCTAATTGACTCATCAGGCTGTTCTATCCTCGTGTTAACCTCTTTAGCTTTCACTAGATTTGTTAGCTTAATTAATGTCTTTCAGAGTCTAATGACAGACATTAGGTCATCTAAAGGCTCATCTATAAAAAAAAAAAATCACCACAATTTAAGTGCAGGGTCCAACCAACTGTCCCTCTTACTTCTCCCCACCTCCTCATGCTCTCTCTTCCTTCTCCCCTCCCCCACCTCCCATTTCATCTTTCCTTCCTGTCTTCTTTCAGGCAATATGGTCAAAATTTATCAACTGGGTACTACAGTCAAATCGGGGTTGAATCCAGATCCTCTGGTAAACACATACTACGTACCCTGCGGTGCCTCCTTTTCCTGGTTTATCAAGAATACAATGGTAGGACTTACTGGTGAGGTTGCTTTGTGGACAGGATGAGAAACATGTATTGTTGACACATGGTCAAATATTGATTCACTGGGTGTTTACTGATCATGTCCTACAAGCAGGCTCCATTCTAGGTTCTGGGGCTACGTCAGTGAACATACAGATGTGCATGTGCCTGTCCTGTTTGCATACTAAATGACAAACAGTGACATACAGAGCACAATATGACAGATGGGAATAAATGCAATGGAGAAAATCAAGGTAGGCAAGGCTGAGCAAGGCTGCCCAAGGATAGATGAGGCAGGTAGTTATGTTGAATAAGAAAGGCTCACTGAGAGGGGAAACACTCAGCAAAGCACTGAAGGAAGTAAGGAGTGAGCCATATGGTCAAAGAAATGGAGAATGTGCACTATGTCCCAGGGAGGGTAGGTGGCTGAAGTGTAAAGACTACAGAATCAGGAGAGGTGAGGATAGACAGGTGTGGGTGACGAATGGGGAGAGATGCTACTGCTTATCCTGAACAGCCTTGTGAACCATAGTAAGAATCTGGATTGAACGCAAAGAGAAGATAAGGAATTAGCTGTGGGTGGTGTTGTTATCCTGAGCACAGCCTTGAGAATGAAGGGCAAGGGTCCTCCTCTCAGGTGACTCACTTTCCCCTGGAGGAAAACAGCCAGAATGACCAAGAGTGATCAGACCAGACAGAACAAGAGGATGCTCCCACAGGAAGTAACCTTTCTGCCAATATTGGAAGGAGTTAATTACGGAAAAGAGCACGCCAGGAAAAAGAACATCAGTGCAAAGGCCCTATGGTTAGAACAAGCCTGGTGCGGCTCATTGAAGGATGGTTAGATGACTGGTGTGGCTGGATTTAGGTGGATAAGTGGGGGATGCTGGGCAGAGGAAGGCTTCATGAAGGTTGGAGGAAGTTCAGGCAGGGCCTAAAGATAAGGATTGTGCATGCTACTTCAAATAAAACCACTGGAGGTTTGTAAAGAAGGAAGTGGCATCATCTGTTGTACACTTGAAAAGACTGCCAGGCTACTTGGTGGGGTGTGGATGGCTGGGCCAGGGTGTGGCCAGTAATCAGATGTTGCTAGAGTGGTCAGAGCTGGAGATGATCATGGTTCATACCAGGAGAATAAGACAGAAGAATCAATTCATCTGGAAATATGTTGAGTTCATGACAGAAAGGTAAGCTATTTAGCCAGTCAGTCAGCTCTTCTTCATTTTGCTGTGGCTCTGGGAGACCCTGCTGAATATACTTTCTCTCTGCCACTCTAACGAGACCCCCTGGGCACCCCAGGACCCCTGGACAACACTCACAGGCTGAGCCTCTTCACCATGCTCTTCCGAGGTTTGGGTGAGGTGGCACTGGCGTCTGCAGCAGCTTCGATCTCACAGGAGAGAGCATAGCTGGGAAGAGAGGGAGTTTATGAGGTCACGGTTTGAGAAGTGAAGACAAGCTTAAATCACAAGATGCACTCACCTTGTTTTAGAGGAAGGATCTGATTATGCAAAGCGGATACATATTAGATTGGTTCACCATAAGGGTCCACCTGACTTAATGGCCAGAGTACAAATTTCTGTAAGTGCTTTCTCTCCTCCTCCCCACACTGACACATGGACTGAAAGAGTTAGTTCTGCACGCCTCAAAACATGGGCTGTGTCCTTTGGCAGAATCAAAGACCAGTATCATTCCGTTCCCTCATCCATTCTCACCCCACCACAATGGCTGGTGAAAAAGCCATTTCTTTCCCTTGCCTTCCCTTTCCCCTGGAGTGCCCTTGCCCAGTTTCCCTTTTATCTAAGGGAAATGGAAGAAGAGAGTTTTGTACACTACCTTCAATGCAACTATATTATTAGTAAGGTCCATCAATGTGATTTTTCATTATCAAAGCATCTGACATTAGAAATGCTCTAGAATCAGACATCTCAGGTCAGGCAGATAAAACTCACAGAAGCACAAGGGAATTTATATCTGATTTGAAAGAGCTTTTATCAAAGCTTATAGCTCTAGCTAGTGGATGTATTTAACCTGGGTAGGTGGTGAATTAGCTTGCTATCATAAGTATGTGCCCCCCCCTTTTAAGACCTATAGGTGTCTCCAGGTATTTACTTAAATAGAATATTGATATGGGCATTGTTCATAAACAAAAGCTGTAGGAATTTTTATAAACAGCAGGAAAATGGAGAATGTTAAATATTATCCATATGAACAGGTGAGAAAATAATGATAATGTTGAACAGCTATATACCAGAGACAGTTTGTGGGGGTGGAGTGGGGAATGGGATCAAAAACAGTGGGAGGAGGGAAATGCACTGGACTATGGTGATGGCGCATGGGTGATTTGGTGATGGGAAACCCAAGGGTATTGCAACTGAGATGGAAAAATGCACAAAAATATGTGAAAATAAACTATTATAAAATAAATAAATAAATAAATAAATAAAAATATCTGTGTAATCACCAAAAAGTCAATTACAGAGCTGATATTTTGAACCTAGACTTTCTCATGCCAGTCATCTGCCCTGACCTGTGTGTTTCATGTGTTAGAAGGATGTTTTCATGACAGAAAGCTCATGAACTGGGCATCAGAAAGAGAAGCAATAACTGCTTTCTACATGACCAGGAAGAAACCTCACCAACTGATGAGTGCTCTGATCAAAGATTTAGGTTTTATTCTTTTATCTCTATATCTATCTATCTATCTATCTATCTATCTATCTATCTATCTATCTATCTATCTATCTATCTATCTATCTTTCTGCCTGTCTATAGTATCAGTGTTCATTTTTGTCCAATGTATACTACCTGTTCTCAGTGTAGTCCTTATAAAATTCCCACCACCACCAATTCAGCCGTGAACGATCACCACAGTCCCTTGTGCTTGTCCCTCTCCCTCCCCAGCAGGATGTCTCTGATTTATAGTTGCCTGTTAATTTTCTCTCCTAGGAATCTACCAAAAGGACACAAAAACACTAATTCAAAAGGATAACCTCTATGTTTATTGCAGCACTATTTACAATAGGCAAGGAAACAACCCAAATGCCCAAAAATAGATGACTGGATCAAAAAGACATGGTATATACACAATGAAGTATTATTCTGCAATCAAAAAAGATAAAAACATGGGAGCTCGAAGGGATTATGTGATTATGTGCAGCGACATAAAACCAGAAGGAAAAAGAAAAATATTGGCTGGTTTCACTTATAGGAGGAATGTAGGGGAACCAAGTAAATGGATTAGGAGAAATAAAACAGCAATAACAAATTTGGAGAAAAAAAAAACCCAGATATAAATCAGTGAGGAAAGATTTAGTTTTAAGGGAACAGGACTGATCTACTCTGGGATTAAAAGGGAGCTCAAAAATCACCTGTCTTGCAAATGAGGAAGGTGAGTTTTATTGTAATCACATGATCTGCCCAACATTATCAGACTATCTTCAGAACTTAGGTGGTAGAATAAAGGCTGAAACTCCATCACCAGCTAGTTAAGAGTTCTTTTCTAACCCTCAGTTTCCTACATTGGCAAAATACTCATTTTGCTATCAACTTCACTATCCTTGATGACAAACTTTTGAGTAAATTCCCTGTCTACAGCAGAGATCAGCAAACTCTTCCTATAAAGGACAGATAGTAAGTATGTTAAGCTTTGCAGGCCATACAAGTTCATTACATTTAGCCAACTTCCAAGTCTGCCTTTAAAGCATGAAAGTAACTATAAACAAGATGTAAATGAATGGACTACATTCCAATCAAACTTTCTCTATGAATGCTAAAATTTGATTTCAAACAATTGTCCCAAATCACAATGTACTTTTATTATTATTATTTTTTTAACATTAAAAAATGTAAAAACAGGTGTGGGGCTGAAATGGAGTTGACTTACAGGATGAACACCCCCCACCCCAGTATCAGGCACTTGAGTTTATGTACCTTTCCATGCTTGTTAGTCATGACTTTCAGACCTGTTTCTCTTGTCCCAGAACTCTGACTGCTTCTCCAAATGCCCAGAGGGTAGGCTTCAGGCCTTGCTCCTGGGATGTGCTTTGCTAGTTCTCCTCATGAAATCTTTTTCTTTCCTTTACAGCCTGGCCTAATGTGAACACCTTTATGATGTCTTTCTCATTTCCCCCCATCCTTGGCCAAATCAGTTATTCCTACCATACATTCTCCAGCACTGTGGTTACCCAACATGCTTCAATTCTTCATGAGTCTTTTCACTCTTTCTCAACAGAAAGCTTCTGAAAACCAGTCGCAGTTAACAACAGTGACAGACATGTGGTGATGATGATGCTAAGCTCTCTATCAATGCTTTTCCAGATGTGATCTCAGTTAATCCTCTTAAGTGAGGATCTGAAAGCACATCTTCTGATGTCATCGATTCAGCTTTCGCTGCAATGCCAATCTAGCAGTTGCTCACTAAAGAGTTGTTGCATCCAGGGTCAAGTGAGCAAGCACACAGAGAATTCCCCCAGGGCAGCCTTATGGCTCCCCTTTGAAGGACAACAGGTCAGCCTACCTCTCCTCCTCTGTCAGGAGCTGCTGTCTCTGGAACCACTGGATGAACTTCGGGTCTGGGGTCATGCAATAGCTGTTGCAGGCAGACTGTAAGAGCTTTATTTGGGCAATCACTTCAAATTCCTAAAGTAGACAGATTACCAGAAAGAAAGCGGGAATGATAAGGGTCAACTAAATAAACATCTTTTCAATGTGAAAACATCCATGTAGGTAAATAATGGAGAAAACCATCCAGGGGGACTCTAAGGTGCTACCTCCCTTAGAAATAAAAGAATTGTAGAACTTGAACATTCTAACTCTGGATCTCCAAAGTCTGTGAATGCTTTGTTTACCTTTCTTTCTTCTCAAAAAATAATTTATTTTGGGTTGTTCTCAAAGCAACCCAACTAGTCACTACCTAACTTCATGGTGGCTTTTGTTTTCTCTTTTCCATTTTCTTTCTGGGGAGAAAAAAAGCCATGTATGATATAATTTCAGATACATTAAATTTTTTTATTTCACTTCCTAAAAGAGAAAGAAAAAAATACTTTGTCAGGAAGCTTCCAAGTTCATTTTTCAAGCTTCCCACCTTCATTTTTCTTCAACTTTTACCCCTCAATAAATAAGTTTGGGAGGGTTGAATATCTAAACAGCCCAGGGCCTCATAAACTTGAATGTTTAGATTTCCCAAATCCTTGGGTTTTTATTACTCCCGTAAATCATTTAACTCAGTCTTTTAAAGCTCACAAGAGAAGCAAGTATACAATTATGTCCACAATTATTTATACTTCTTCAGATTCTTCAATATAGATTGTTTTTTAAGTCAGAAATGAGTACCAACTTTAGCTTTAGGTTTTTCAAACTTTTGAAAAATTTAACATACAAGTCATAAAAGGAAAGAGAATCAATGTCCAGGATTATTCTAAAGATAAAGGACAAAATGTAGAAAGGCAGAGGAAATAGCTGAACTTCAGAACAGGCCATAACAGAGTTGACTCTACAATGGGCACATCGTTGTGTGCCAACTTCACACCCAATGAACCGAGCCTTGTCCTCAGACTCCTGAAGGAACATTTATCAACATGCCAGTGAAGAAATATACTCCAGGAGTAACAGAGGACTTACTTTTTTTTTTTTTTTAGGGTAGTATATTGTCACTAAAAAGCTTAGCCTAGCTAGCTCCAAGTTTGGTTTCAACTTCATTTTTTTTTTTCCTGGCGTTTTCTCTAACAAACCCACCCCCCAGTTAAGGATAAATGCCCCTCCAACTATGTATTCCTATAAGACCTACAACTTCTGCCCAAAAGCCCTAATTAGGTTTAAAGATTTATTTATGCATATCAAGAACTGGGGTGCAGGCCTCAGAGGTGTAGGGGATGAGAAGATTCACCAGAGACAGAGTGGGCGAATCTACTTAGACACATGGCTGAGGGGAGCAGCACACAATACAGGAAAGGTCTGCTGTGCCATGTGGGTCAGTTCCCTGGCTAGGGGTCGTATTCATGCTTTGTCTTTAATCCTGCACCACCAAGGACACCCCCTGGGCTATATTATAATTTCCTGTCTGTCCACCTTCCTCTTGGATTGTGAGCTTTATGAGGGCAGGAAGCTCTGCTTTTACCCTGCTGCAGTCCCCAACTACCACAGATCCCACACTAGGGCTGCAGCCATTGCTTGTGGAATGAAAGCATGAATGAATGACTCAAGAACAATGAGTGTGCTATGGGGCGAACTTAGTGTTTTGCTCACTCATTTTCCCTGCGACCTTTTAAATGTCTATCTAAATACACTATTTAAACACTAAACCTATAACAAATTTTCAAAGCTTTGTTGTCTTTTTGAGTGTATACCAAACCACTCTACTATCCACAGAAAAATTTAAATCGATGTTGCACACTCTGTCTTATGCTGACAGGAAGAGGAAAGAATAATTATCCTCATGGAACAATAAAGACCCTTCCTTTTCCTTTTGCAAACAGAAATTGACCATCTTTATTAACTCTTCTGTGTCACTGATGCTCATGAAATCCTTTCTCCTGAGTGGTGTGAACCTGTTACTGCTGAAGCTTACTGAAAAGAAGGAAATGAAAGGGCCAAGCAATGAGCGCAGTGCAGTATTTGAACCCTGCCTTTGCTACTGGGAGCCCCTGATCAAATCACTTTGTCTTTCTGAGTCCTAGTTTCTTTGTCTTTGAATTAAGTATGACAAACCTCCGTCACAGGGCTCTTGGGAGATGACACGTGGCAAGGCACCAAACACAGTGGTGTATGATAAATGTTTGACAAATGCTATTTCCTTTTTTATTTGCCTCCACAAATAAACTTAAGTCCTGACTCTTTTCATAACATTATGCCCAGAAGAAATAAAGTATAAAACCACAGGCAAGCGCTCTTACCCTTCTCCTTTTTTCAAAGTTGATCAGCCCACCCTAAAATAAATGAAAAAAAAAAAAAAGGACACAGTCAAATCACTTTGAAACACAAGTCTATGTTATTCTAGATATTATGAAAATAGATCAAGTGGGGTGAGACAGTCACAGTGATTAATGAAACTCCAATTAGGGATACTATGGAGGCGGAGATGCATCATGGTCTTTGAGAATATCCTCTTTGTAATTATAATATAACAGGAGGGGCAGAAAGCCTTCCCTGGCATGTCTGAAACCAACTAAAACTGTTATGATAATGGAATGACAAATCCGAACCTAAATACAACTGCAGAGCCAGCAGAGACAAAAACATGGGTAAATGTTCCATTATACTTTGTTCCTTGACCGAAAGCAACAGAAACAGATGGGCACTGACTCACACTGGAAGCTGGGCTGTCAATGGTTCATAGAAGGGAAGTCACTTCTACACAGCATCGTGAAGAGTGAAGTTTCAATTCTCCATCCCCACCACCACCTCTTCTCCATTGGCTGATTGCACCTTTAAGTCCTTGGTCCCCGCCCCCCAAACTCCCCAACACTAATGAGTGTTCCTGAGATAAGCTGAGGCCAAAGATATGCAGGGCACACGCTCCGGACATGCAAAGTGGACAAGCACGGCCAAGTGAACACGAAGGAGGCATAAGCAGAACGAGTAGTCCTAGCTGTGGAGAAGGGAACACTGGTCGCATGTGACAACCAGACGGGAGAGACTGAAATAGACAAGCAATTCTGTAATCTCTCTCCAAAGGCCAGATCTCTTCTCCACTTCTGCAAGTAGCAGGGAATTTGGGGACTTGGTTTTACATCGAAGAGAAAGGGGATGGGGAGTAGAGGGGAGAGGCAGGAAGGAAGACAGGTAAGAGGGAGCCCCAGAGTGCATCAAAACAGGTAATAATATAAAAAGGAAAGGGATACATCAAAATTCACCGATTTGATGGACCTCCTAGCCCACCAAGGACTGGCACACACCTATGCCCTTGGCTCCCCTTGCCCCAGTCCTACTCAACAGCAGATCTTGCTCAAACCTACACCGTCGCCACCTGGCGAGTGACCTGTGCCCCTCATCACATCTAGCAAGGATCACATATATGATGGCTTCTCACAGATGCCAGTGCAAGTGAACTTCTCCTTCGGGAGGCAGCAAACAGGTGCAGGTTGCAATTCAGCACAGAACTCACCTCAATATGGTCCTGGAGAGCAGTGTCCAGCATGGTCAGGTCGGTCAGGAAGGTACCCAGGTAGGGCACAGTTCCCTGCATCACCCCCTGGAAAGCAAACACAGCAAACTGTCTGTGATGCTATTGAGAAGTTGAGGGCTTCACTTGCTTCCCGATAGAGCAAGTGGACCACAGCGGTGCCACTGAACAACACGCCCATTCGTAGATGGAAATAGCAACCCTGAATCCAGGTAAGATTTGATGGCATCTGGAGGATATTTAAGGGGCATTCAAGGCCTGAGCAAAATGCTGGAAATTCCTACATAAATAGGACAAGTGGTGGAAACCAAGCCTCAGAGCCAGAAGATCCTACAAGCACATTCAAGTGTGTCCACAGAAAGTCTGTACTCCACTTAGACTCAGACACTGCCAGTGGTCTGGGGTGGCCCCAGTGGGGGTATTGTTGCTGCTGGTAAAGGAAAGGGCCTACTACCTAATGGAGAAAGTGTGGTCAGGGTTGGCTGTGGCATCACTGTTAAAATGGGCCCTTGGACTAGACTTTGTGACTGGCTTCCAAAGGAAAAGTGGTAACCTCTATGTTAACCAAGTGAGGACAGCTAACATCGCAGTGACGCCAGGTGTCATGCTGATGGCGCTGACTCCATGGGTGACGTGCTGAGAAGGGTACCTCACTCTGTGTCATTTCTCCCCAAGCCCCATAAACTTAGTCTAATAACTAAAAGACAACAGAAAAGGCTTGAGGACGGACATTCTATAAGACACTGGGTAACATCCCTTAAGGTCATGGTCATGAAAAGTAGGGGAAAACCCAGGAAGGGTCACAGAGCAGAGATGTGGTGAGGAACAGGAGAGAGGACAGGATGGAAAGTCCAAACAAAGTCAGGGTTTTAGAGAACCACAACATGCTGGGGTGGGCATCTGGGACAAGTGTGCTTGGTTGTACACGATGTTAATGAGGGAAACTGGACTTCACAGGCCGCTGAGGGAAACTGGGCTTCACAGGCCGCTGAGGGAAACTGAGCTTCACAGGCCAGCAAGGGGGCGGCTACACATTTTATAATGAAATGTTTATTTAAAAACAGTGTCGCCTGGAGAGGAAAGTAGAAACACTGCAACTCCAGACTTAAACAACATAAATGTCGCCAAATTCCCTTTGACATTATCCCTATTCTCCGCCAGGTCACCAAGGCACTAACCACTCTGAAGGGGAAACAGAAAGACACCTGATCCCAAGTTCCACTGAGGCACTTTCGGAAGTTCTGGCAAGGACATGGGGTCTCCATCTGGGCAAGCCCAGGCCTGGCGATGGAAGGCTGCCTTCCCCCTGCTGGCTTGGCTTGGTGAGGTCCACACTGGGAGACGGAGGAGGGTTAGTCCTTCAGGATCTCTGGCAGCTGCATTCTGCCCTTCCTCACTATGTATGTACAAGGTCTCATCCTGAACTAAAATAACTTTTTTAGCATCTATTTTTAACTTGTCTTTGAACCACCAAAAAATGCAGTGACTGTTTTAGAGGCTTTATGTTACAGAAGAGTCCTAGCATTCAATAACAATGTTTCTGATTTATGCCCAGCTTTCCCAAGAAGGGAACAAATCAGGGAACAGGAGACTTCTTCAGCCAGTTTCTAATCTCTCTGGTTTCTTCCCCAGGCTGCTAAATATTAGGGAAGTTTAATAAAGAAAGGTAAAGATGATAATAACTATTGGCTTTAAGGAGCATCAGGCTAGCCCTTTCAGGGTTGAAAGGCTGGAGACATCTGATTAGTCCTTGGGCTTAGTAAGAAGAGCTGGGAAAACAGCTAAAGGGCTTGGAACAAATGAAAAGATCTCCAAGTTCACAGACTGAGACCTCCCAGGAGTAGACACTGGGTCCCAAGAGCTGCGCGAGGCATTCCCAAAGAGGAAGCCAAGCCCATGGGGCCCCAAGGCCACGGCAGCAGCCTCCAAGTGCAGGAGCAGATGGAGGAACAAAGCAAGAGGGATGAAAGTTTATTCCAGCAAATGTTCTCTCACCCCCAGAAAAAAAAAAGAAATCTCCTCTAGAAAACAAGATTTGCATTTGTAACTATCAGTGTGTATTTCCCACTGGGTCAAATGGGAGAGCTAATAACTTTCTTACCAAACTCCAAGGGTGGCTGAGAACATAAAGATCTTGAGAACGATTTTTGAAAACAGAGGTGCCCGTCAGTGTGAAGGGGCTGCTGCTACATGGGTGTGCGGCCACCGGCATGGGGCCTGCCCACCGTGGGCTCAGAGGGGCAGGCGGCCACACGTACCATGTCCTTCTGGAGTTGAAGCCGCCTCTGAGTCCGCTTCTGGTTTTCTTTCACGCTACTGTCGAGGTTTGCAAATTTTGAGGTTCCTTCCTACAAGAGAGCAGCGCACACAAAGAAGAATGAGGGAGGATGACAGTAGGAAGAAGTGAAGTGAAGGGCAGCTCATTCTAGGCACAGTCCAGCAAACCCCGGACTTACTTGCAGCAGGCACACATGATGGCTGACTTGCTGCAGGGGGTCTGTGTGAAATAGGGCTCGGTGGCCTGGGAGAGTAGCCTGCTTCCCCCCTACTTTGTAAGAAGAGCCCTGATTTGATACTAAATCATCCCTCCACACAAGGTGGGGAATTCCCAGAACTGGAGACAATTTGTCCCGACCCCAAATTTCACTCAAAGGAATCACATGCCCTGGAAAGGAAGCTTTCTTCCTCTGCACACTTTGTGATTTCTTGATCTTGGCCTGAAATGCATGTGCCATTATTCTGTTAAAAAAAAAAGGACTATGTCTGTGGTGTTTCTTAGCTAAATGAAATGTCTACTGGAAGTCTTCTGAGGAAGTCCAGAGTTCCAGTACAGCATGACCTTCAGACAATTCTTCCCCCCAAAATCAATCCTCCCAGATCTCCCCTCAGATTGGGAGCTCTGGCAAAGGGGCCCTTCCTCCTGGTGCCTGAGGACAGATGGTGACCCTCTCCTCTCCTCCCTGCTGTTGTAACAACAAACTATTCAACACAATGACTAATCTCGGGGTTTGCTGACTGAACATAGTGTTTTCAGTTTTGTGGTTTTGGGGGCTTGTTAAGTTCTCATTTTCCAGGAACTGTATGAATGAGAGGCAAATTTCACAATTCAGTTGTGTGTAACCTCATCTCCATTAGTTTCCCCTTAGTCAGTTTTCCCCAGAATTATTCTATTACCCCCAGCATGGGCACTCTTCACTACCGTGCAACTTCCAGAGGCTCTTTTGCAGTGACTGGACCTTCCAGCAAGGTGCGTGGGGGTGGGTGGGAAGGGGCTCATTGTATCTTCTTTGGTCACCAGTTACCTGGGTCCATGAACCCCACAGGGGACAGAACTAATAGTGACTCATCATCCCTTTTCATTCTCCCTGTTACAAGTGATAATAAGGAGATGTAACCTTTGATCTTAAGGGTTTTTCCTAAGGATGAATGAAAGATGGAGCCTAACATATGCCAGTTCCTGTACTGGCTGATAGGGAGTTCTCCCCAATTCTTGAAGATATGCTGGCAGTAAGAAATCAAGTCCATCGCACTTGAATGTGAGTGTCAGCCCCTTTCTAGGGTATATATCCTCCTGGTTCCCTTCCAGCTTCTTAATCACCAGCAGGATATAATGCTTAGAAATTATTGCTATATCTAATATTCTTTTTAAAATTTTATTTATGTGTGTGTGTGTGTGTGTGTTTACATCATTCTTCATTTTGTACATTTTTTCATCTGCAATCCCCGTGGACTTCCCACCACCATTTCACCCATGTGCAATCATCATAGTCCCACGTGCCAGCCCAGTTTTGACCTTGTTCCCCTCTCCTCCTCCAGGGCAACAACATAGCTAAGATTCTTAATAATGATTTCAGAAGTTAAAGGGCTCCTCAGAAATGCAGAGTAACAACTTCAATGAGCATTAAGACAACCGCCTCACTGGCTGAAAAGCCCTGTGTCGAGGAGCTGGAAGACACCGATGCACAAGATTGAGAGTCCATCATGCTGGCTGGCTAACTCAGAAGACTGCCTAGAGCTCATCTTTCATCTTTTTCAACTGAAAAACCCACTAGTTGCTACATCAGACAGTACCTGCTGTTTCCTTCGTCAGCTCCAAGTCCTTTGCTCTGTGAGGCCTCACAATGCCAAGCCCTTGAAACTTATGGAAACTTCTCCCAGGCTTGGTGACTGCCTTCCTCTGACCTCTCCTCCTGCCTTCTCCATTGCTCATGCTCATACTCTGTAAGTGACTCTTCTTCCTACCAAAGCCACCTTGCTTCTTGCTGGAAAATCCTACCCAGTCCCATGAGCTTCATCAGTACCTATGTTTGGATGAATTCCAAACTCTCCTCCCTTCACTGACCTTTCACTAGCCTCCTATCTCCTCTTTCCCCCAACCCTGATCCTGGTCCTTCTCTCTCTCTGGTGCAAAACTCACTTTCTCCCTAACTCTATTTCTAGCAGAATTCAGCTACCTTCCTCCATCCTGTTCCCAGTCCTCAGAGGAGCTTCTGCTACCTGAGCACTGGCTCTATCTTTTAAAAGAAGTTTACTTATGTATACAGAACTGGGGTACAGGTCAGAGGTATAGGAATGGTGAGAGGATTCACCAGAGGCAGAGCAGGGAACAGAAGAGGCAGAGCGATGAAATATACCACTTAAGGGAGCAGCAGGTGGGTTAGAAGAGGTCTACTGCACCATGTGGGTCACCTCTGGGGCAGGGATAAAATTCACAGTAAAGCAGCTGCAGTGAGCTTCATGGTGCTGCTTTTTAACCCACTGCAACCCCAGGGAGGGCCCTGGATCTGTCTTGATGGATGTTGGTTAGCTGCAGCCCAGAAGTCAATGGCAATTATTCAAAATGATGTTCTCAGTCCTAACAATCCCCTATTCCCAGTCTGATGTCTATAAGTGCATCAAGAACATCATTGAACAGTATCTCCAGAGCCAGTCCCTGGGCCTTTTGAGCAGTGTTTTATGTCAAGTAAAGTCAACCAGGGGAATTCTCACCAAGAGTCCCAACAACCAAGAAGACTTGGTCATATTCTGCTTTCTTGCTGTTCTGAAATGTGTGGACTCTATCATTCGCCTGTGTAGAACTGTCCAAGTTTCAGGTTTAAGATAATCTTTGACAAAGAAAAAAATCTTTTCCTAGCAATTAAGGGGAAATTTTATCTATATATTTATATAAATTTTACTTAGCCTATTAACAGGATAATTTTTATGTTGCCTCAGCCTTCACTCCACAAGGGTGGGACAAGACATTTAGCCAGAAGTATAAGAGCAGGATAACCCAAATAGAAATCAGCATAAGCTCAGGAGGGGCATGTTAGAAACAGCAGTCAGCAGCTTTTCTCAGGGTTTCTTAGATGACACTAAGAACCTTTATTTCAGTTTTTATAACTGTGCTGAGAACTAACATCCAAAATTACATCCTTCATATGTGAAGAATGATCAACAAAGCTAACTTGAAAGGGACCTACATATACATTCGGGTTGCCCCAACATTCCACTATCATTAATGATAATACACAGACCACTTGAACTCATAGCCAAGTTCGTCATTTCTTGGGGACTTGAACCATATATGAGAAATTTAGCTTAGAACACTGGGATAGAGGTCTACATTTAAGAAAGGTTTATGGGGTTTGTAATATCTAGATATAGCTTTGCTTCTAAGATTTCAGCCAGAAGACAGCCACCGGGCAATGAACTGCCTGGGATTCGATTTATCTGCTTTGAAAGGATGACTCAGAGCTATGGGGATTTGAATGTGTGGCTCCAGTTAGTCTAGTTCTCATTACTGACAAGGAGACCACTAAGCCATCTCCTTCCAGCCAGATGAGCTTTTATTTAAAAGTCTGCAGATCCAGGGGGATGGGAAGCAAGAAGTTAACATGATCTCAGCAGCATTTTTTCAGTGTGTGGTTGATCAGGTAGATCTTACCCAAAGACAGACATCAGCATGAATTGTGCTACTCACACCCTCTGCTCTAAGAAGGGCTAAGAGTTGTGGAAGTCCTGAGAACGATAAGGCTCATTAATGCATGCAGTCACACAATAGTTCCTGAATACTTGCTAGACGAGCACAGGTCCTTAGTATGTCAGGCAACAGGGAAAGAACTGTGGAAAAGTTGAACCCTGCACCTGCTTGCAAAAGGCTTACAGGGACTCAGGCTAAATATACAGAAATTCCAACAAGTCCTCGGTAAATATTACACAGGTGACTGATGGGCTTCCCCTGGGACATGTGGGAAGGTACCCAATCTGACTTGAGAGTATCAAGGCTTCCAGAGGGGAAGTCCACACTGGGACAGGAAGAATGAGCAAGGCTTAGAAGAGCAGTCAGGAGGACCATGAGAGATGCCCTTACAGGAACGACTAGCTTAACAGTTACCAACTGGAAGCCTTTCCTGAGTAAACCCACCTCCAGGGTACTTTCATTCCTATTCCAAGTATCCACCGAAGCTCACATATGCAGCTCATTCTTTATTCACTTTGATTGGTTGTAGATATATATGAAGATCATCAAATACTGAAAATAACATATTTGCATCATACTTTCAAATATCTTACCTTAGTTAAGGCTCAGAATAACTCTATGATGTCAGCTGACTAAAACTGCCACTGATTTTGAGAAGGAAAATAAAGGCAAAGATCTGATCTCCCAGTTGTCCATTTCAGGGGACACGTCAGTTTTAAAGTTTTCTTTCTACGCTCCCATGAGACTGTAATCCCCTTAAGGCCAGACACAGCCAACAATATGGCTACATCTCTAGCATCCTCTAGTATCTCTAGCATTGTGAATGCTCAGTCAATATTTGTTAAATTATTGATTTACCTTCTCACTGAAATTCTGCATTATCTACCCTGCCCTTTCCTCCCGAGTGGTCAGAAGAAATAGTTTTATGCCTAAGAGATAAAAACACAAGTTTTAAGAGTCTCAGCAAGTTGAAGTCTCATTTTAACTCGACCACTTCCAAGGTATATGAGTCAGCCCGTGTTACTTATCGCTCTGAGATATGGCTGTCGACAAGATGAGGCTGATAACATGAGCTTCAGAGAAAGGTTATGATGATAGTAGCTGGCCTACGTTAGTTCTGCTCCTATGATCCTTCATGACCTGATGCTGGCCTCTTAATTTGACTGCTTATTCTTGTTTTGTGTCTCCATCCGCCAACTAGAAAGGGAGCATTTGAAAACTGTCTCCATGTTAACCATCTTCATATTCCCAGAAGTAGGTTCATGCTTTACAAACAACACAAGTCTACAGAAGTCAAAGGCAACAGAAGCGCCTGTACCTGGTCTGGGATTCAGAAGTCAGAGCTCAGTTTCTGGCCAATAAATACTGCTGACTGACAGATTGTGCAACTATGTCCAAATAAAGGATGTGGGATTGCAGGCTTGGACTCTTGCTCTAGGAGACGTTTTGCTGAGAAGGAATATTCCAGGCCCTCTCACCCACCTAACTGCCAGCACTGGTATTTGCAGAGTAGTTTGTTACCGAGGTACACACATGAATGGTAGTTTCACAATCCAGTTACATAACAGTGAAGTTAAAGAGCTGGACTTTGAGTTTTCTCAATCCCAAACTTATAAGATTAAAGCAAAAGAAATGTAAAAATGTGCCTCCTACTTACTTTAGGGTTTCTCATGGAACTGAAGGATCTTAAGGATCCCAGAGCTTCCAAGGGTACCGCCTGAACCTTCACCAGACACCCCAAAGCCTCACCTTCATCAGTAGTTCCCGACTGGTCAAATGGTTATTGTGGTCTGAGAAGATATCAGAAAGTTCTTCAAACATCAGCATCCGGTCCCTGTAAAAGGGATTAAGGAAAGATTCACTGGGGAGCCTTAATAAAAGCCCAACATCTTTGGCCCAGCTGTCCTCAGTGCCAATGGCCTTTATTAAGCCACAGAGGGGCAGACCTGCTCTCAGGCTGTGGGTGACACGCACGGAGGAAGCCAATGACGGGTGTTCACATTGGTGGTATTTTTTTTTTTTAATCAAGGTACACATGGTCCCCTCTGCAAAGTAAGGGATATTTTCCATCCATGCAAGTTAAATCATGAAAAAGAATTGTTCAATTGGGGCATTAAGTCATTCCATTGGGACGTGTCCTTTTCAACAAATTTTAAAAAAAGAAACTATCTTAGTGACATACACACATACATCTGGTCCCCTTCAGCTTAGAGATGAAGCTGGCAGGTGAGGGATGCCCCACACTTCTGCTAATACCTACTGATAGTTGGAGCTACAGAAACCCCATTTCCCAGCTCCCAGGCCAGGGGTCTTACTTTCGGAGTTGGTGTAGAAATGGAACATGTGTGGTTTCTGGGGTGAGAAGGGGTAGGCTCAAACCCAAACTTGGCCTCCTACTCCCCATGTGATCTGGGACAACCTATTTGACTTTCCTGATCTTCAAGTATCTTCCCCTGACCCTCTTGAAGATAGATTTATTTTATTTTATTTAAAGATTTATTTATACATACAAGAGCTGTGATATAGCCAAGAGGTGCAGAGGGTAAGAAGATTCACGAGAGACAAAGTGGGGAACAGAACAGGCAGATTGACTGAAAACACACGGAGGTGGGGAGCAGCGGGTGGGGCAGGAGAGGTCTACTGCCATGTGGGTCAGCTCCCTGGTCAGGGATCAAGGTCAGGCTGCAGTGGCTACTGATAGCTTCACAGTGCTGAGACCTAACCCCTTGTGCCACCAGGAAAGCTCCTAGATTTATTTTTTTACTTTTTAAAATGTATTTTTATTTATATTCTTAAAGAATTATTCCTTTATTGTGAAATTTTTATTCATTTTATTTATTTAGCATAGTAGGCAGAAGAGCAGGAGGAGGATGGGGAGTAAGAGGATTCACCAGAGACAGAGTGGGAGCATAACAGCCGACTGACGAAGTACATTGCTGAGGGGAGTAGTGGGTGGGTCAGAAGTGGCCTGCTGTGCCATGTGGTCACTCAGGACTTCTCAGTGGGCCTTCGTGGTGGTAGTGCTGAGCTTAATCACTATCCACTGGGGTCCTCTTTTTAATTTTTAAATCTTTATTTTGGGGTTACATTTTTTGCTATTCTTTATGTGTATATGACAAAAAAAAAATACAGTAGGAATAAAACTTGAGCTAAGTGAAAGACTTCACTGGTGACCAGAGGTAACAGAGAAGAGGAAGGAAAAGAGGGGGAAAGGTAGCGGAGGGGGTACTGGCACAGTGGCTTTGTGAGCTTCAGTTTTCTTGTCTGTAGGATGAACACTAATAACCCCAGAAGGACTGCTGTGAATGTTGGGGGGACCATGTAATGTGAAAGCACCTACTGCTGGTCCCACCTCACCCGTCTATTAACCTCCATGGGTGTGTATTTTTTCCTCCATGGGCTCAGGCCTCCATGGGCTTAGCAAACAATTCTGAAGGCAAAGAAGTAAGAGGATCAATGGCATGATATCAGTAACACTTCCATTATCACAAGAAAGCCATTATTAAGCACTGATGTGTTGTATGATGAGTACCATATTAGTCTTACAATAAAGAAAACCATGCGAGCGATTTACAGTTTGGAAAAAATAAGTAAGAACCTAATTACAAGTGAGAGTAAAAGAAAAAAATAGCTGTCCCTTCTATCTACCAGAAGTTATTAACTTAAAGGACTGTATGGACACGGATAACCAAGTAAGATATTTTAACCCTGTCCCTTGATGTAAAGGAAAATACGTAAAGCTGATATGGAAACATCTTCTCTAAGGAACTGTGACACTTGCCGTGTGTCCCTGCTAAAGCACAAACCAGCCTCCTATGAATTAAGCCAGAACCCATGTTGTTAGAATGTAGCTTAGAGGTTTGTTTCATAGTTTTGGCTTTTTTTTTTTTTTTTTTTGGTAACCATTAAGGCAGCCAGCTGGAAGAATGGGCCTTCTCATCTAGTTACCAAGGAGATGAAGATACAAGTCCACTAATTTTTTACTTGTGTTTTACACTCAAAATTGCTGGGAAAGAAGTCTTTGGCTGGCTAAATGACTTTGGGTCGTGTTCTCTTTATCACCCATCAAGAGAAACAAGATTGCCTTTCACTGCAATCAGAGACATCCGCAATCCCACAGGGCTGCCTTTTAGCACCTGATCATCTCTTTATTGTTGACAGCACAGTTGGGGAGCAGTGATAAGAAGAAAGGGCTGGGGTGTGGAGGATCATCTTTTCATTACATTTCACCAGTGTCTATCAGCTAATGATTTCATGTGATGTAACTTCCATAAGACATATATGAGAAGAAAATCAATCAACTCATCCCTCTTTTACAACACAGAGTCACCTTGATCATTCAAACAGATGAGGCTCAGGAGAAAGGATCCCTAGTAAAGAATGATAATAAAGAAAATGAGACGGGATTTGGAAAAGCTTATCTGCCAGTGGGTAACTGTACTGGAAAGAGATGAGCATTGGAGTCCACGTGGCTGTGGCTTCTTCTATAGCTCTTTAACACCAGCGACTCAAACCATCTACTTCCATATTTTGTCTTTACATATCAAATAATTAAGTAAGAAATAATTCAACTTCCGCAAGAAGTCTTTCCTCTTCTTGAGAATCCTGACTTATCAGTAAGCTCAAGTAACTGACATTCATTATGCAGCATATGTTTACCAAACACTGGTTCACCAATCTGGGTCTCATGTACGTTGAATAGTGTGAATCTCTTTGGGCATAATTAATGGTGAGCAAACTGATGAAACTGAGGGCTAGACCTTTCACAAGAAGGATGGACTCAGATATTTCCCTGAGAGGTTCCGCTCAGGGAGCCTGCTGGGTCTCTCCTGATAGAAAGGGACTACCTGAGTATAACACACACAGGAAAAAACTGTAAACAGTCTATATATTGTTCCTGGTACAGACTGACTTCTTGGTTCATTCAAGCTTAGGTGGAGTTTTTGAAAGTAGCTGGCCTTGGTAGCCATGACCCCTTCCACACACTTTAAATCTATGTTGGTGTAGGACTACAACTTCCCCCTTATCACCCTCTACTTTCTTGTAAAATGTTCTCTGGTCTATAAGTGAAGTTCAGGAACTAGGGAGAGGCCATTGGTGAAATAAGAAGGACATTAAATTGTTCATTGTCCCAAAGGTTACACCCAGAAAAATAATATAGGATGTGGCTAGTTAATAATTTTCAATGGGACCAAGGAAGGAACAATTAAAACAAGTGTTTTAATATCACCAAGAGGTTTCCACATGCTGAACAGAAAGAACTAATGTCCTATCTATACACACTCTCCCACGCAGATTGAACACATAGGGCTTTAGAACATGGGTGAAAAATAACCAGAAGTAATGCTCAATGGCTGAGAATTCATTGCTTCAGAACCTTATCCTTCAAAACCCTCAGCTAAGCACATCCTTCCAGCCCCGGAGCTAGTCATCTTGGCTTTGGCGAACTTGGAGAATGAGCCTGATTTCTACAGAAGCTCTTGCCTCAAAATTCATTCAAGCGGATGTGTGAGATGCACCCTGTACCTGCCTGGAGTGCATAAAGGCTTTCAGCTCTGTTGCTTTAGTTCTATAACATGAACTTTGAAGGTGAAGACCCACACGATTTATGTAGCAACTAATCACACAGCCCAAGAGAGGTGAGTGGACACTTGGCAACTTACTTTGGGACAGCAGCCCAAGTCTTTTTCAACCGGTAGATGGAATTGGACTGCAATGCCGAAACAATGGCCCTCAAGGAGGAAAAATTCTTCAGGATTCTACATTCCTGTATGGGGAGTGATTAAAACATAAAAGGCATTTAAATATCAATAATACAGTGAGTTGGTGGTTTCCTGTTTTAGAGGTATCACAGCTGCCATGAATTCTTACCACTAAATAGGCAGCTGTATAAATACTGAACATCAAAAAGTGGCTCCTCACTCCCACCCCGTCACTGAAACACTTTATAGATTTTGGCACCGTATGCTTGTTTTTCTCCCTTTAATATATTTTTTGCATCGTTGTTACAGTTTTATAGTTTCCAGCTTTCCTAGTAAAAACATGCATGAAGGTGAGTCTGCAGAACTATGTTAGAGAAAGCAAACTTGCCTCTGCTGAAAGCACACAAATACCCTAAAAATACACGTCAAAGATCCCTGTATCCTTCAGAGCCACAGACTAACTGGGCAGCAGTCACTGTGGGGTCACATGGTATCCAACACCCCATGACCAGCCCTTGTCTAGTGAGGTGTATGTCATTTGGCAATAAAAATTCACCACGAGTTGAACTCTGTCTTTTATGCTCTTAGCCAAGAGGGGATATTTTTATGCACATTCATTTGGTTTCAGATTGGCTTGTGCCACAATTATAAACATTCAGAAACACCTAGGTGCTTCAGTGTTTCCAAAATAACTAGGGCTTTTAAAATCAGACTCATTTTGGCAGCATTTTAAAACAAAACAGAACGAGGACAGGAAACACTCTGGGACTCTGGGTAAGGAGACAGTCTCCCTGATCCCCACACATAAGCTGTCCTGGAACATCTGTGGCACCAGCGGTGGGAGAGTTTCCCACTTCTGGCAACAGGGAGGGAAGGGACCTTCATGCGTAGGCATGTGAGAGAGTCAAACATTTAGTGCTTGCAATTGACAACACCATGTGTGTGTGTGTCTGGTTTTGAGCAAAAAGAACATCTGGACGAAGAGGGCTTGCAGTGGTTGGGCATAAATGCACACTGTTTAAAAGATCATTGTAGGCAGCAATGCTCATCCTGAATTCTGAGGGAAAATAGCCTTCTCAGACTCAGCATGTCAATATCTGGCTCCTCAAACCAACCCCCAAACCATGGCCTCGAGAGTAAATGCTTAAAAAGGACTTCATAAAAGGCATGCTGACTCGTTGTAAACATCTCAATGCCCTCCCTTTATTTATAAAGAAAAAGAGAAAAACAGAGAGAGAATTACAGTCTGGAAATCAAAGACACGAGAGTATGGTTCAACAAAGGTTCAGAATCCCAAAGCTATGTTCTAAAAATCAGGAAACTTGCAATAAATAAAGGACCTCAGGCACAGATATTTCATGCAAATTGTAATAAACATATGGAACACATTATTCAGAGCGAGGCTTAAGCTAAGGGTTTAAAGAAGTACAAAAAGCATCTGGCCCCATTTCTAGAAAAGAAAGAATCTTCCAGAAGATGCAAAGCAAAAGTTAAAAAGTATCAGCGAGGCCAGTCCAAACAAATATAATCGTATTAGATCAGAAATATTTTCTGCATGTAAAGTTATCATTTTTCAAACATCCTCTCAATAGAAACTGACTGTGATTAATGCAGGAAAAGGAAAATAAATCTTGGCAGGAAACCACTTGTGAATTTCATTATTTTATTAAGTTACCCTACACAATTTCAAGGGAAACAATATGCTCAATATTAGGAAACTACATCACTAAAAGACTTTGGCTTATAAGCACATACTAGGGGCTGGGAATGTACTTTAAATTGTTCAACTTGTATTTCTTATTATCACATAAATGCACAACCTATATTTAATTTGAACCAGTCATTGTTTGAACCACACTATCACACCAGATGCAACAGTATTGTTACAGATTTTCTAAGCAGTTGACTAGGTGAAGGGTAAAAAGCCATTTTTTTCTTTGGAGACATGTAGAGAATTGTAAATGCTATGGTATTTATGGCAAAAAATAAAGCCTTTTTCCTATCATTCTAAGACAGAGGAATTCCTTGCTCTGTCGCACTCTATCAGAACTTTGTTTGTAGCTCTTACTTGTTGAGAAATAAGCTCAATTCAGAGCAGAAGAAATGTTAAATTGTGTAAAACTTTTTTTCCCCATATATAAAATATCTAAGACAACAGACCACCTAAAAACTAAAAAAACTCTGTGTTTTTAAATCAAAGACAACTAAAGAAAATGCAAAGAAAAAGAGAGATTGCAAAAGTTTATGCATTATGCATAATTTAAGCTTAGTGAAAATAATGTGCAATGGGATAGAAAGCAAAACATGTTTGGCCGGTCCAGAACAGAAACTAATAGGGTATTTACTAATGATTTCAAAATTGTTCATTATGGTTATATAGGTTTGCTGGTGTAATTTCTTCTGCCTAGAAAACAAAAATTTTCCCCAATCTTCAAATACCCAAAATTTCTATTAATCAAACATCAATTCAAATGTCACCCCCTCCATGAAGCCTTCCCTGATCTCCTCGATCAGAAGGGATCTCTTGCCTCCACCTTTGCAGCATTTATCAGCATGAGGCTCTACTTCTCTTACACTGTGATGACTCCAGTATCCCTTAGCTTCAAATGAAAGATTTTTGAAGCAAATCAATTGTGTCCATCCTAAATCCCTAAAGTGTAACAGTGTAGTTGAGGGCTTTTAGGAGTTCACAATGGTTGACGACCATGTGACTAAATCCTTTTCACCTTTTTCACTCATGAAATAAGTGAGGGTCATGCTGCTAAGTGAGGGCCACAGCATGTGAGCAGGTGGCCTGAGAGAGTAGTGAGTGACTCTCAAGAAAGCATCTCGGGTCATTCACAACAGACTCCTTCCTTCTGACTTCATATAGGAAGTCTCCATAAAAGCCCCAGATTCGCACAAAATCTAGGTATCTTGGTCCTGTAGAAAACAGTCAGAACTCTGAGAAGGTGCTAGCTCTTCGTATCTGTGGAGGACACAAGGCCTCCTAGACCTGGATGTGGGAGCACGGGGAGTCACGCTGGGCTGAAGAGAAATCTGACACTCTATCATTGGACAAACAGAGACCCACACCCAGACTGTGGTCAAAGGCAAAGCCAAGCATAATGCATGGCTCTGAGAAGCAGCAGCAGGGCCCATGAACAGAAAGAACTGAGCAAGGTACCAGTGTTCTTTTTAAAGAGGAAACGGAAGTAAGTTCCCAGGCTAAGAAAGATACACGTTCCCCTTGCTTTGGAAGAACAACAACAAAAGCCCCACTGGCACTCATGGATGGTCCTTTAGCTGCCTTGCAACCAAATGTTAAGTCATTTAAACACAGTGATGGAGCAGTCTCCAAAATAGAGGACGCACAAAGAACGTTTTTAAAAGACAATTACGTGTGCGATGTTAATCCACTTCTCGATGATTCTGGCTCTCTGCTGAGTCTTGAGCTCTTTGCCCCCCAGGATAGTGCTGACAACGCATTTGGTGAGAGCATTAAACTGCGAAATGGTGGCACGGATGGTGGGGGCCAAGTGTTTGTTTTCCTTCTTATCCCTCCGGGACCAAATGCAGCCCAGGCAGTGGTGAGGCACGACTTTCTTGAATAATTGCTAGGAGAAAAGAGAAATTGACTTTGAGGACAGCACAGACATTTCTGAAGGCAAAGCTGTTCATCTGGATCTTCTGAAAATTGGTATCTTCAGAAACAGCAATAGGATAGATGACCTTTTCTACTTCATTGGCCCCCAACAGTCCGTGCCAAGAGACAACATAATCAATATAGTTACTGATTAGAAAAGCCCAGTTGTTCTAAGTCTGTTCAATTGGACAAATGGATCACAATGAACAAAAGTGAAATCACCAAAAACATTTTGACATTTCCTGCCCTAGAAAGAAAGGCAGGCAAAAATCTACAGTACAGTATTAATCAAAAAAGATTATTTTGACATTGACTTGTTATCCAAGACACATCCTGAGTCTCCAGTGAGTGAATTGTCCTATATTGTGTGTGGGAAAGTAGTTCTCAGAGATCACCATATCTCTGTGACAATTATCAATATCAATATTTCACATTACTTAAAATGAAGAAAACAACAATCATAAAAGGAAAAGCATTTCAGTGTCACCCAATAATAAGAAGGAAAAAAGACATGACAAAGTTCAGCTTCCAGGTCTTTGTTTAAGTCATAACCAATGAAGTTTTCCATCTTTCTCTTATGTTCACAATCGTGGAACAGCCACCACGAGTTTGTTGCACACATCAGATGCTCATTGGCCCCTCGGTGCCATACAAGATGTGGAAGGTTTTTACAAAAGAGAACACCAGGTTTGACTTTATAATGGACTCTGATTTACTTCTGATAGTCCACTTGCATGCTCATTAGTTGGAAATTTTCTCCAACGTGGTAAGCAGAGACCGTGGTCATTCACAACAGTTAAATAAACAATCCTTTACTGAACTGCTATCTCCCTGCTAACACTGAGCTCTGAAATGTGACTGACGTAATCAAGCATGGATAGCCAACAAAAATATTCCAACTTCAAAAGTACAGGAAGCGCGCACAGAAATGGGCTCCCAGATCGAGTCACATGTGGACTTGGTGAATTTATTTTTCCCTAACTTCTACTTTGACCCCTTTACAATCCTCCAAATAAACAGTTCAGATCTTGAAATATTTATAAGTCCAAAGGGAGAGAAATACTCAAGGAACAGGGTATATTTTGTTTCACTGGGATTAGAATACTTATTTCACCCTGTGTATTGAGCGCCAAGTGAAAAGCACCGTCACCCAAAACTGCAGGAAGAGCTTAGGCCTGAATTATTCAGAAGATCGATCCAAGTCTCATCTTCACCCTATAGCACAGCCTTTCTCAAGGCTCAAGAAAAGTCCAGTCACTCTGCTCACATGCCCTCCCCTCTGCCAGCACTGTTGCGCCCCATACTTAAGTGGGAGCAGCTGAGGCACAAAGCTAAGCCCTACCGCATCCATGTAGGTCAGCTGTTCTGCCACGAGGTCTTCAGCAAAGCACGTGAATTCTGCGGCCCCTCCACCCTCCAGTTCCTCTTCCTCTTCCAGGCTGAAGGACAGGGTGTTGGGAAACCCATCTGTTCACCAATGAAAAAAAAATGAGTAATTTAGTGCCGCTGTATATGACTTTGTTTGCAGAGTTTCATCAGAAAGAAAGGGGCTGATCCTTCAGAAAACTCGGTGGAAGAAACGAGCACTACAAATAAAACAGTACAACAGATTTCAGTGAAGTGCAGGTCTCTGCAGTCTCTGATCATCCTTAGATTCTTTATTAAATTCAGTGGCTAATGTTGTCACTGATAAACCCTTGGTTCCTAGGTGAAGGCTACAGCCAGCGAGGCAAACTTTGGGGAGGTGAACGTCGCCTTCCATTCCAAAGGTTACCTTTATGTTGAGCTCCCCACACCTTCCATCCGCTCAAGGACTAGTCACCTAACTCCTTAACCCTGTCTGTGCAATTATTAATTACTGGTCCATTTAAGAACAGAAACCTGGAAGGTTTGAGTGTGAACATAGACCTGGCTTTGGGGACTACATCAAAATTTGGGGAGTCCTCAGAATTTTTAAAATGTCTTGGGATTCTCAAAATCTGTGAAGCAGCTTTTATTGTAGCTTCCACCTAAAGTGCATTGAAGTAGTAGAAAAGCATTGAACTAAATCAGTTCAACAGTTCACTTGAGCTAATGAAAGAAAAAAATTACCATCCAGCAAACGATATGGGGCACAGACTGAAAAAGCAAGGACAGAATCATCAGTGCAGCCACTCTGGCCTCAAATCCAAAGCTAAAGGGCTCAGCACACAGAGGAGGACCCCCAGTCTCCATTCCAGATGACTGGAACCAGAGGAAGTGGCTCTGGAACCCCTGCCTTCCCTGGAGCCTGCCCCCAAGTCGCAGATCGTTCCCCAAGCTCCTTCCCCTTCACATACCTCACCCTCTTGCCTGTCAAAATTGCTCTCAAGACGGAATCGTAGTTGCAGTATGGGCTGCATCTTAGCAGAAATTTAAGTCAAGGTACTACTCTTTCCCCAGCATGTTTACCTTTGAAGACTTTTCTTTCTTTCTTTGTTGAATGAAAAGAATTTTAGTCACCTTGGATCAGGCTGGGGAAACCTTTTCTTAGTTTTCTAGGGGAATGGGGCTACTAAGAGAGGATCGACCCCTGCATCACTTTGCTATCAGGAACCACATGGACACTTGTCAACTCTCGTGATGGGTATGTGGTTAAAGGATGCCTCCCTCAACACAGCTGAAGGGGAATGCAATAGAGTTATGTCTGGAGAAGGTAGTGGCACAATGCTTGCCTGTGGAATTGGGGGTACCAACAGGTAAGTGCTCTAAGAAGCTAAAACCCCACACTTCCCTTCCACTGCTGCTCTCACTCAGTGGATGGATAAGATTTTGAAATCACAAAGAAAGGCTCAGCATGGGACCTCCCTGGTGGTATAAAGGGTTAAGTCTCAGCACTATGAAGCTATCTGCAGCCACTGCAACAGTTCAATCCCCAGCCAAGGAGCTGACCCACATGACACAGCAGACCTCTCCTGTCTCACCCGCTGCTCCCCTCAGCAGTCTGTTTCAGTAGATCTGCCTATTCTGCTCCCCACTCTGTCTCTGGTGAATCCTCTCCCCTTCCCTCCCCCAATCTCTCCCCCCACAGCTGGCCTGTACCCTAGTTCTTGTATGCATAAATAAAAATAAAAATCTTTAAGGAAAAAAAAAGGGATGAGCATGGGCCTGTGGGCCTATCACCGGTTGTGCGAGCTACTCTGTAAATCTACCCCAAATGCTCTTCAGCGAGGGGCTGACCCACCTGAGTTAAGGAGCACACAGGGCAATAGGCTTAGTTTTCTCTTTTCTTCAACACTAAACGTGAACATTGTGCATGGTCCTTTTTTTCTGGGAGCTAGTCCACCCTTCACAGATTCTGCTTCTGACTCTTTCACAGGTAAGCAAGTAAAAACTTGAAGTCAACTTTTACTTTTGTAAAACAGGTAGGAGTTTCTTGCTTTTGTTAGCAGGAATTGGGCGAAATAAGCCTAAGGAAACCAAGCTCTTAAAATTCCTTTTCATTAATGATTCCAATGTTTAATAAATAAGAAGTTTAGAACGTTGTTGATTAAAAATTTCCAAGCTTAGGAAAAAACCCTCATTGGGTATGGCCTGAAAGCCTTTCCAAAGTCAGGCATTCGTCTCCCTTGCCTCTGCCTGCCAAATGCTCTCTGCCTTCCAGTCCTGGGCTGGAAACAATGACTGACTGGTCCCACCGGTTCCCCAATTAGGCTGGGAGCCAGGGGCAGCCCCGGTGGGGAAAGCTGGGCTCCAACACAGCATTTTCCACTCCTGCACAAAGGCAGGCGGGGAGGCCCTGAAGGGAGCTGAGGTCCGGCAGCTGGAGGAGTGCCCCTGGTATTCAAACATTCCCGGCAGATGAAGTCATCTGAGATACAGAGAACTTGGCAGGCAGCTTCCAGTGATGCAATTGCATTTTCCCCTGCTGATCCCTCTTGCACAAAAACCTCCACAGGTACACTTTGGAATTTAAGGTCATTTTCTTTGGTGCTGAATCGGCTGTCCTTATCGGTGTTGAGGAACCATTTCCTTTTGCTCACTGAGGAAGCCAGGCATCACTTCAGGGAAATGCCTGTCAGGAGCTCCAAGTGGGTCAGCCGCCATGGCAACCAGCAGCAGCGCAACAGCCACGAGGGGACAGGACGTCAGCGGCAGCCTGTCCCAACCTCTTTCTGACTGAGAGTTCTAAGCAGCCCACGACCTGCTGGGGCGGCCCTTCCTTTGTCCTTGAAAAGAGGCAGTCAATTCCTCAAATAGGAAAAAACAACCACAGCAACTTCCCTTGGTGAGGCCCATTAGGGTCCCTTAACATCTGTCCTGGCAGGGATCAAATGAAGCCAAGGCCTTCTATGCTGAAGGAGAAATACCTTTCCCCAGGACAGAAATGGGTTTAATTCTTTGCCTCCTGGAGTGGGTGGCTGTGGGTGATGGGTTTCCAGGTGACAGAAGAAGGAGCCACTAGGTAGCTAACGAGGAGCAAGCTCAGGTCCATGCTAGCAGGGTACATGCTAGCAAGAGCAGGCAAGTGTCATCAAGGCCATCACCCTCTTCTGGGTGTGAGCAGAAGCCCTAGGAAATCACGTCTCTGAGCCAGTTTCTTCACATATAAAATGAGGGTGGCCGGCCCTCCCTGGTGGCACAGCGGGTTAAAGCGTGGCACTAAGAAGCTAAGCCACTTCAGCATGAGTTCAATCCCCGCCTGCCCTGGAGGAGATCTACATGGCGAGGCAGACCTCTCCTGACCCGCCCGCTGCTCCCCTCAGCAGTGTACTGCATCAGTCTGCCTGTTCTGCTCCCCACTCTGTCTCTGATGAAACTTCTCACTGCCCCTGCACCTCTAGCCTGTACCCCAGTTCTGTATGTATAAACAAATAAATCTTTAAAAAAAAATGAGGCTGGCCTTGAAAATCCCATTCTCTGTTCTAAAAGTCTGTAATTAGTACTCCCCTAACCTTGAGAAATTTATAACCACCATCAACACCCTCAGCAGCTTCCCTGCTAAGGAAAATGGAAACCACCTAACTCATCACCAGAGCACAGAGAGACCTTTTCTCAACATGGAGCTGGCAGATGCTGAATCAAGGCATCTGGAATCGGGCAAGTACTCACTGTCAGCATCTATTTCTTGTTTGTGAAACTGCTCGAGGAGATTGTGTGCTCTTCTCTCAGGGTCAGAGCCGGGCATTGTCCGTTTGAGATAATCCAGCAGTTTCTGTAAACAAGGGAAATTCGGGGGCTCCCGGAAGTCCTCAGCACATTGGTCAAGCCAGGCCCTCAGGATGGAGGCGATCGCACTGGGGAGAGAAATGGACAGTCACTGCATCCACTCCCTGGGACCCCAGAATAAGCCCTGGGTACAGGCTAACCCAGGCAAGCCCCCCAAACTTGGGCAGCTGGTCAATAGATAATTTATCTACAAGTTCCTGGAAGTGTTCATCAAGTTAAATACCTTGAAAATAAGTTGACTGCATTTTATTACATTAAATGGTAGTTGGGGAGCAGGGAAAAGTCTAAATGATACGTCTAAAAAAGAAAGGATCATAAACTTTAGAAAATCCCGTACAAGGAGAAAAAGCCTTGCAGGAGAGGGCAGCTTCAAAGCTATCTGTGCACAACCAGATGATGTGTTTCCAATTCTGGATTCACTCAACTCAGACCACAAAACCCGTGGCACGAACATTTTAGGAAATCACTGAGTGGCAATTAGGCCAGAAATCCACGTGGTAAATGGAACAGTAGATGTGGGAAAGACATATGTGTATGTTTAACTTTACAAAGACCATTAGTGTCTCAGCAAAATGTCCACACTAAATTATTCATTTGCTTCTCAAAATACAAGAGAGTATATTTTAAGTGGGAGATACAGTGTGAGTGGGTCTTTAAAAGGTAAAGGAGAAAAACTTGGGAAGCAAAGTCACCATAAAAACAAAGTCCTCTGGCTGCTCTGAGGAACTCAGCAGTGTCCCCCTTGGGTGAGAGGAGGTTCACACGCTCGGTGAAGACGTCACTAATGAAAGGAACAGGGCGGCCTCTTGGTAGAAGGAGCCCTGTCACAGAAACAAGCCTCTGATGGATAATAATATCAAGTGTGAATACCCAAAGACACCATTGATGCTCTCGAGTCAGTCACACGCTGGGCTGTGCCCACGGGACCAGCCAAACCCACAGCCTTGGCGGTATATTCATTCATAACGGCGGGCGAAGATGACAGACCTATGATGAATGCATGTTCTACTGACAGAGATGTGCTATCTCATTTTCACTGAAGACTAGTTGGTGAACATTTTTCAGCTGAATTTTTTTTTTTTTTTACCAATTTAAAGATTATCGAGTCATACTTTGAAGCATTTAGTTAGCTGTAAAGAGACTAAAAGCTATCATTATCCATATGTGTGAAACTGCGGGCTGGACTCTCAGGTGTGTCTGCTTTTCACAGGTTCTGATTTTATAACAGGAAGCTGGACTGAGATCAAGGTATATGTACAACACATGCCAACTTACCACTTAATTTTTGGAATTGAAGTACAAGCAGAGCGAAAATTAATTTTGTTAGCTGTATTCCCTGCTGTGGTTGTTACTGTTTCACTGAGGTGGACATGCAGGCACATGGAAATGTAATACTGGTGAGTCTACACAGGGGCGGGGTGGGGGGAGGTGGGGGCAGACATGAAGCCATTAAATAAAACTTGGAATTTAAAACCATCAAAATCATTAAATTCTTCCATTATTAGTCCAGATGAAATTTAAAAATAAACAAAGTTTCTGGCCCTCCCTGGTGGAGTAATGGGCTAGGATGCAGCACTGCAAGTGAATGGCAGAAGCTTCAGTGTGAGTTCGCTCACTGCCTGGAGGTGACCACATGGCTCAGCAGACCTCTCCTGACCCGCCCGCTGCTCCCCTCAGCAGTGTAATTCGTCCATCTGCCTGTTCTGCTCCCCACTCTGTCTCTGGTGAAGCCTCTCACCGCCCCTGTACCTCTGGCCTGTACCCCAGTTCTGTATGCATAAATAAATAAATCTTTAAAAAACAAAACAACAACAACAACAAAAAACGAAGTTTCCTTCCTGTCCAAGAAAGTAGAAGAAATTCATCAGAAGTCTAGGATTGGTTGAGAACATGCGTAAAATGAAATGAATGGGCTCATGTCAGTGAACCCTCAACATTCAGTTCATTCACCACCTCATCTGTTATGCGTGAGTGTTTATGTCCCCCCAAGACTCAAATGTTGAAAATGAACCCCCTGAAATCAATTGAACCTGTTTTTTGAGGGCCCACGCGGCATTCATTACTACTTCTTTCTTTACCAAAACCAAGTGTCATGCATTGAAGAAGAAAACGATGACCTGGCATTCTGACATTCAATTCTGATCAATACTATGACTTTTTCTGTGCCCAATTTGCCTTCTCTCCTGACCAGCACACGAGCACTGTGGCAGGCACACCAGAGGGAGAGAGCGGACACAGGAGACGCTGGCGACCACACACCAGGCCGGCAGGTTTCAGCTCTCAAAAGACGGGCGAGTTGATTTAATCGACACTACGACTCACTATTTCAGGAAGAGTAAGCTCTCCCCGCCAGTAACACTAATGGAAAAACAGACACGGAGGGATCGTCATTGGTGTTACACAACAGAAAGCTTAAAAAGCGCCTGCCTAATGACACCAGCAACCTAGCGACCCCAAAGCCTCCTCAGAGTTTCATGACTGGAGAACCCAGGTAGAAATTCAAATGACAGGTAAAAGACAGACAATAAAAGATAGTAATGTATCATTCAATTCTTTAACTCTCATAATGGTTTATTTCAAAAATTCTAAAAACTGAGGGCCTCTCTGGTAGCACAGAAGTGAAAGTGCAGCACTCTGAAATTATCAGTAGCCACTGCAGCTCCCCGGCCAGGGAGCTGATCCACAGGGCACAATAGACCTCTCCTGGCCCACTGCTCCCTTCAGCAGTATATTTCAGTGGATCAGACTGTTCTCTCCCCACTCTGTCTCTGGTGAATCCTCTTACTCCCACACCTCTGGCCTATACCTCAGTTCTTGTATGTATAAATAAGTAAATCTTCAAAAAAAACCAAAACTGATTATTGAAAAAAAAATTACAAATGTTTGTAAATGAACACAACACAGAATCTACTCCCCCTTCATTCTATTTTATGTTATTTATTTATTTATTTTATGTTTTAAAAGGGTAGGTTTATGAGGCAAAGGAGAGGCACCTCCTGCGAATTTACAGGTGGGCAGGAGAGCTCTTTCCCTTCATTCTAATCTCATTGCCATGACCTTCTGGTAATAATTTGGGGTATACCCTTCTAGATTTTTCTCCAGATATATATACAGATTGAAAAAGCATATAAATCTACGTGAACTGTTCCCTGCGGGGATATATTATAAACACTTCTCCACTCATCACGCCTAGCTCTCCCTTACTGTTTTCCAGGGTTACTTACTGACTGTCCCATTGCATGGAGCTGCCATAATTAATATAGTCATTCTTGTACTGAGAAGCAGGTACTTAAGTTATTTTCAGGTTCTCATGATCACAAACAATTGCAAAATGTACCTCCTTGTTATATCTCTGTGTGCTTGTATATTTCCACAGGCACCTCACAGAGCACTCCCTTCCATGCAAAGAGCCAGTCTCAGAAAGTCTGAAGGGAGGTTCTGCAGAGGGGTCTCAGTCCAGAATGGTCTTGCCTTGAAATGCACATTTGTGTCTTTAAGCAACTATGAAGATCCATTCATTTCACCATTGGTGACAGTACCCTTCCTATGGATTAGCCCAAGAAGCTTTGAGAGTTCACTGCAAACCCAGAGGCTAAATTAGCTACAAAAAGCATTTTCACACAAAGGAGGAATAAAGTTGGGGGAGGAAGAAGAAAGAGAAGGGAAAGAAATATGTAAGAGGTATAATAAAACGCCAGGCTGACCTCTGCCTTCCTGGCAGCAGAGTGCTTGGCCTGCCAGGGTAAACAGCTTTCTAGAAATGCCAGGAACATACAAGAAGCTCACTGTAGCCTATGTCTGCCAGTCCTGGGAAGAAACTTGCTATTCTTGATAGACTCATGAAGCAGATCAAGTACGAAATTTTGAATATTTCCAGAAGGAAAGTGGTATCACAAAATCATGATGGAGTCAAAGGATTACTGGTTCATGGCTTTCCCAGTCTAGCCTTCTTGGCCCTTTCTGGAACCTACCTCAAATACTAGCTATCACTGGCTAGTGGGGAGGATATGAAAAACTTGCATACTGAAGGGAAATATGGCTTAATGTCACAGATTTACAAGAAAGGAGTGACTGCCAACATGAGAAGGTACTTCGCTTTGCAAGTACACAGAACAGGAGGCTGGAGAAGAAAAACCTGCTTCACCATTCACCCTGCCACCTGTCAACGAAGGCAGCAGGGTGAGTCACTTTACTCTATCTAGAGAAGAGACACAAGAATACCTGTCTTTCTCAACCTCAAAGTGGTGGGCCATGATTTCACAGGACAGAATGTTCATAAGGACTTGGCAAGATACTTGCAGAAAGACATAACTGTTAGCAGTCTTGCTGCTTGCCTTACGCCACAAGGGAAGGGCTTGAAAAGTGTAAGGTTGGTTTAGTGAAAATCAATCAGCACTCAAGGAGATCAAAGAATCTGCCACCTACCCTAGAGAATGACAAAGAATACAAACCAAGCTGCAACACCTGGGGACCCAGGTCTGAGGGAAAAAATTTCGTGGTCAACAGTTACCTTGTGGGCACACGCACATACACACACACACACATGCTTGCTTGCACACATGTAATACTCAGTAGCATACACACCCACGTCTGAGGCATCATCCATAGGACGGATCAATTCAGGGACTTCGATCTGTAATACAAACTGAAAGCTGTGCCTCTTGAATGACTGGTGAAGACTGAAGAAGTAATTTCCAAATGGAAAGACTAAGACTGGGACATAATCTAAACTCAGTAAGGAGAAAAGTCAGCACATGACCTCAGATCGGAAGTTATCTTGGGTGAGATACAGAACATTACTCAGTGCCAGGGGAGGTGCCTATCTGAGAGAGCATGCTGGGTGGGCCGTCAGGGCCAGGACCCAAACCTGAGAGTATGAGTGACAACCAGAATTGTTTTTCCTACTGCAAGCATTCCTGGCAATGTGCTCAACCTTAGTAGCGAGCCTTGTCTAAACCACCGCAGTGGTCTATGGAGGGGGGGAAGGTGTGTTTAGGCACCAAAGTGTGGAAATGACTGATAAGAGATCCTCAGACTTGTCCTTCAAAGAAAATACACCCATGTAGAG